ACCGCGAGTATTGTCCATTTTTTAATTAATGAAACCTTCAAATTATTTCTGTAATAAATAACACAGACAATATTTTTTTTTCTTTTGTTGTATGAGATTTAACAAATCTTAGGTACTTTCGTTTATATCTGATTTTAATCTGTAATCGGTTTCTCTCTCCTTTTATTATTTTGTATATACATATAGGGTAAACTAACCAGTGAAGGAACATTTAAGCTTCGCTTGCCTTTTAAAAAATCATATTAATTTCAAAATTCGTAATTTTAGTTAAATGACAGTGTCAACATATTTGTTACTAACTGCAAATTATGTAAAAAAAATCGTAGAGAACTTACATAATACTGTTTTAAAGTTTTGGAGGTTCAAATAACAAGTAGTAAGAAGACCAAGTGAAGGAACAGCTCTTACCAGTGAATGAACACCCAGTAAAGGAACACTTCATTTTGGTTATTTTTTAATACTCTTTATGAATTTTTAAGCAATCCAAATATTTAAAAACAAGCCTATTCCTGAAATTATAACATATAAATAATAGGAAAATGTTAACTTTTTTTTGTAATCATGAATTGAAAATTAAAGTGTCAACATATTAACACATACTGTTCATTCACTGGAAAATCTATGCCCAGTAAAGGAACATGCCTGTTCCCTCACTGGTTAGAAGTTGTTTTTCGTATTTTTAACATACTTTTGATGCGAAACATCACTAAAGGTAAAAGAAAATTAAAGTTTATCTTTTATTTTCATTAACTTAGAAAAAAAAACCAGTAAAGGAACGCTTGTTCCTTCACTGGTTTTTCATCATCTGGTGATCCAGTGAATAAACTTTACTATGTACAGTACTTTACTATGCTATGACGCATAAAGAGTATAATTTTCCATAGCAAAATACAAAATTTGAGTGAAATCGATCGAATAGTTCCGAGAAATCGAATTTTAAAAAAGCCATATTTTTATGTTTAGGTATGTTTTTTCAGAGAAAGTACGCTTTGTGTCTTGAAATTTCGTAACTTTAAATGTCCTCTGCATTAATTAATTAGCATATTAGAAGTCACTTTTTAATCCCTTGAGTCCTAGAACTTGAAGATTCGATCATTAGATAAAAAGTTATTCAGGGTAGTCCGTTTATTTATTTATTTTTTTTGCGCACCATGCATGTTTAAAAACGTTATATATAAGGGGCATGAATTCCTCTGCAACTCGAATCCCTATCATGTGCCTTAACTCTCCTAGAAGTTAGTCGCAATATTAATTCGACCCCCTTGTTATACATAACGTTTTCAAACTTGTACATTTCGACAAAAAACAGACTAAATTTCAGATTTGAAATATCCATGCACAAATTAAGCAAGGTCAAGTATTTTTATAAACGCAACAAAAAATTTGTTTACCCAGTGAAATCTATGATAATTACATATAGTACTAGTAAGTATTACTAGACCAGGATAACCTGGTTGGTAAGGAGTTGGGCCCACGTCCAAGTGGTCGTGAGTTCTATCGACGCTGGCCGAAAACTGGTGACTTGTGCATGTTAAATCAATCAGGTCACAAAGTTCTCAACGTTCCCATAACATATCTTACCTCTGAAAGTACTGAAGTGCTGATTGATCGTTCTTTGATTCAGGTAAAAATTACAATCTGTGGAATGAATGAATGTATAAATGGACCCGCCCTATAAACGGGCTGTGTCGTGTGTGTGGCGGAAGTCGCATTCCTGGCCATAGATGGCGCCACTGAAAAACAAAAAAATGCACCCTCTTCCCTAAATTCATCAAGCAGGCTTGTCGGCATTGGCAATAGAAACAACAACATAAGTATTAAGAAAACTTCAAGAGAAGTTATCCACATTCCGAAGTATTGCGATTTCATCAAGTAGTATCATAATTAATATTGTTTATATTACATTTATTCAATTCGTAAAATGAAAATTGGACCAGTAGGTCTAATTTTTTATTTCTACAGTCGAACCTCGCTAACACGAACCTCGATTTCACGAATTTTTCGATATCTCGAAGAAAAAAAAATTCCCTTCTAATTTCCTATACACTCAATGTTAAAAAAAAAACTTGATTTCACGAATTTTTTTTTCTAATCCCTCTATAACTTGGTTTTTTTTTCCATGAATAGTATAGATTTTTTTTCTAAAATTAAAAAAATATTTCAAAAAAATAAAAAATTTTGAGAATGGCTGACAAGGCACGGAATGATGTGTCTTCCTCTACGATAATGAATGGCTTCAAGAAGTCTGGATTCATTAAAGATCACAAAAGTAGTCAAACAATCAATATCGTTAATTCTGCTGAAAACTGCACCGAAAATGATTGGAACAGATTGACCGAACTCATGAAGCTTGATGATATGAAATCTCATGACTTTGTAAACGTAAATGATGCAGTAACAGTAATGCAGTCAGTGGGATGACAATGATATCATCGCTCAAACGAAAGCTTCTTGTAAACTATCAGAAGATGATGATGAGGAAATCGAAGATTTACTGCTCAATGTTACTAAAAAACAAGCACTTTCTGCAGTGGACACTGTAAGGAGATTTATTGAGAGGCAGCCGAATATGTCAGAGGAGACATTTAAAGCTTTAGTCCACTTAGAAAGTGTTATAGACAAACTTTCTTACACATCTCTAAAGCAAACAACAATTGAATCTTTTTTTTAAATGAAAGTGTAAAAAATGTTTTTAGAATAAATATGGAACAGTAAATCAGGTATGTAAAGAGCATTTTTCTTTATTCTACCATCCATAACATGCGATTTTCGATATTTCAAATTTTTTCTCCTCTCCCTTCAAGATTAAGATATCGAGGTTTGTATTATTTATTCGTGAATGACATTTGCTCTTTAGAATAATTAAAGAAGCTCTAGCTTTGTATAAGTATGAACTTGTAAAGGGAATTAAAACCCTTATTACTTGCTACTTAGGACAGAATACTCATAATAACGTTAAGATTAACGGATTACTACTAAAGAATTAATAATGGTCTTGAAGACATATGCTCATGGAAGCAACCCTCAACTCATTTCACAGATCCCGGGATATCGCGGCTGCAGCAATTATTTTGAGAACCCCTGGTCTGGGCATCAGAGTTATGCGAATTTGATTCACTTCTTGAATTTATGAATTGACTGTGGAATTTGATTCACTCTAATCCCTCAAATATTAAAGATTTTCAGTCAATATTTTTTAAAGAAAAAAGCATCCTTTGACTCTCCATAACCAATTTTTAGTTTCAATTAAAAAAAAAAAGGTAAGTAAAAGACTAAAAATATATTTCGTCTGAATAAAACAATATATTTTAGGCTAAAAAAAACAGCTGATTCAGAAATGTTTGCCTTAGGCCCATTTTTTTATGTACAGCTTAAAAAATGGCAAAAAAAATTAATTGAAGTTACTTGAAAAAAAAACTAATTACTCTCGTAAAAAAAAGAGAAGAAACGTTTTCAATATTCATTTTCACATTACATTTGAAAAAATGTTTCATTTCTTTTTGTATGCCTTCTTAGAAAAATTAGTTTCTCATCACACTGTTCTTGTTCATACGTCAATTGTTATTCACGATGTATCACACGATGTGTAAAAAAAAGGACGCATAATTTTGAAATTCGTGTGTACACTACCCTACAATAATGGAAGAGAAACTTTCAATATTTGACTTTTTTTTTAAAATTTCTCAAGAAATATTGAGAGGATTATTTTATAATTTCTCAAATTTGCGATTTTTCAAACTTAGCAGTAAAGTTCAAAGCTTCCAGGGGTTTGAGGAACCGACAATAAATTCCGAAAGAAAACAAGTATTTTGGAACACCCTATGCCAGGAAAATAAAAGAAATAAGCTAGCAACTAATGTGAAAAGTCACGTTTGAAAATCTTAAAAATTTAAAAAGTTACAATTAATTTTCTTAGTAGTTTTTGTACTTTTTAAAAGGCTAAAAATAATCAGGGGTTCCCATGAATTTTACTTTTTAGTATTGCAAATTACACTACCACATAATAATCAACAACAAAAGCAAATGAAATATGTAAACAACAACTTACCATTGAGAGCTTTTGTTTTTAATAAAAAAAAAACACTAAATCAATTTTCTAACTAGTTTTTTTTTAAACTCTTTTAAATTTTTAAGATATTCAAATGAGACTTTTTTCATTAGTTGTTAAAAACGATTCACTTCAAAATTATGAAGAAAAAAAATCTCTTTAAATTTAATTTCTTCCTTGCATCCGTAGTACAAAAGATCTACTTTAAATATCCTGTGCAGTTTTAACGAATTTTTCTCAAATTTTAAAACAATTCTGTAATTAGTCTTAAATAGTTTTAAAAATTTTGTTTAGTTTTATTGAATAGCTTTAAAAATACAGCAAAAAAACATAAGACAAAAAAATGTGTTTTTTTTATAAAAAAGGTTTATATCTTCATAAATAATTGAGCAAAATTAACATAATTTCATGAATTTATTGCAAAATACAACCTAAGTAATTGATACAAGTTACAAGGTTTTTGTTTGATTTTCTAGCATAAACTGTTCAAAAATACGTATTTTCTATCATAATTGGTTGGTCTCTCAAAACCTTTAAACCTTATGGTAAGCATGGAAAATTGCATCAACTAAATAGCTCTAAAGTTACAAAATAATCCTCTAGGTATTTCTTGAGAAATTTTTTTTTAAAAAATGTCAAAAATTGAAAGTTTCTCTTCTATCATTTTAGGGTAAAAAATATAGTTCTGATGTACATAATATCCAAGAGTCACACAATTAGGAAAATAAATTATACATAATTTTGGATTTTGAAAGAAGAAGGATTAAGCAATAAAAGTTTCTTCAGGGTTTTGAATGGTAAGTAATTAATGTAATGAAAAATCAGATCTTAATATGTATATGGCTCTTTTTTATTTTTTTATTCAAAATTTTCACCAGCCTTTTTTTAGTGATTTTAATAAGTGAAACTGCATTTTATGCTAAATGATAATTTTGTTTTGAATGAAAGAAATAAAATAAAATAATCATTTTTTATTTTAACAAAGTGAATTATTGCCTAATGACTCCAAACAGTCCTGTACAAATGATTGAATTGCTTTTATGACCTAAATTTAAGAACATACTACTTTTGTGTTACATCGGTTTTTGATGATGTACCATTTACATCTTTGTCTTGTATAGTATCATCTATTCGAGAAAATTGCTCCTCTTCTAAGCTTTGCAATGTAGCATCGGTGTCTTCATCTTTCTTATAAAGATTAGGATACTGTGACATACAGTCGTTCATTGCACGAAATTGCTTTAGACAATCACTGCCTCTAGGTTCTGCAGTGCTATAGTGAAAGCAGGACAAAGACTCTCTAAACTCGACATTGCATGGACCAACAACCATACTGCCTAAACAAGGACAGCTCCAATTTATATCACCATTTGATTGCAACAAACCTACAAAATATATCTCAGATTAGTTGAAAATAAATGCCACAAAAATAATTTTGAATAATTTTAAAAATGATATTAAGAACAAAAAAGTACTATAATACTGCAGAATATTTTTCAAAAGAAATTTTTTTTATTAAAAGGTTATTTAAAGTAATAAAAGGGAATTTTTAGATTTTAAAAGTCAAACTTTTAACTACACAGCAAAAATTAAAGCGTAAAATACTTAGTGTTGTGATAAATACTTATTGCGATAAAGTAATTTGTGATAAAACTATACTATTATACTTTAACCATACTATAATAATACTAGACTATCATAATACTATACTATTATTATAATACTATACTATACTATTATTATAATATTATACTATACTATTATTATAATACTATACTATTATAATACCATATATAATAATACTACAGGGTTCATGCTCTACTATAAAAATAAAATTCAAGTACTTTTCAAGGACTTTTTAAGACTTATTATAAAATTCTCAAGGACTTAAATTTTAGTTAAAGATAGACTAAAATTTAACATTTTAAACTAAAATGTTTTGACGATAAATGTTAGTCGATAATAGCAGTACTGAAAAATAAGACTTCNTTTTTAAATCGCCTAAAAAATTGCAACACGTAAGTTTTAAATCAGTTAAATACGAAAATCAATGATTGATATTAAAATCATCTGATTAAAAATCGCGATTTTAGCAGATTCCGGTGCAGTTCCTAATATTTAAAAATTCCAAAAATCAGCCAAAAAAAAAAAAAAAAAATCAAATATCGGCGCTTGAAACGAAACGCTTAGACTCCTTTCCACTCTATAACAGAAGTCGCGGTAATCCGACTATCGTTCGGGCGGCTTGGGTTTCTCCAATAGGACTTCCCAAAAATTTTAGTTTTTGGAACATGGTCGGAAATTTTCAAAATTGGGGAAAAAAAGCGGATTTCCGCTTTTTTGCGGAAGTCTTTCATCCCTGCAACACATAATTTTTAAATAAGTCTAATACGAAGATCGATGATGATATTAAAATCGCGTGAATAAGAATCGAGACTTTGTCAGAATCTGGAGCAGTTCCTAATATTTAAAATTCCTAAAATCAGTCAAACATACATAAAATCCTAAAATCAAACAGTACGTGTCATCATCTGAAAGACGGGGAAGTCATTCTCTCACACTTACGGGCATCAAAAAGTTAAACATAGAAATACTGGTTTTCCTGAGTTTTCGATACTTTTCAAGGTGATTTCGAATTTTTTCAAGGATTTAATATCATTTTCAAGTACTTCTAGGGGCCCTTGAAAATCAAAATGAAATTCAAGTACTTTTCAAGGCCGCGGGAACCCTGTACTATTTGTGATAAATAAGGAAGTTATTTTATCACAACACTAATACTTAGTGTTGTGATAAAATAACTTCCTTATAAGTTTTTTCTTTATTTGTTAATTAAAATTTTTTTTTTTAAAAGAACATAAAACTTATATTTTCAAGTCTGCTTTGCCATAATAATATAAGCTTGAGATAAAGTAGTGCCAAAAACAAAAGTTTTAGGACTACTTCAGCTCCAGCCTGCATTGTTGCAATGTAGCTTTCCAGATAACTGCAGATTTTAAATCATTTTCATGATCATATTCCGTTCAAAGAGCATTATTTTATTCTTGCAATACTCATTCACAAAAAGAAAAAAAAAACACCATAACAAATATGAAAATCGTATCAGTAGTGCTTATCTTACAGGCCTAATTCATCAAATTAGTGAAAAAATGGACAAAAAACTTATTTCATAAAAATTGTGAAAATTTTTTTGAAGTATACACTATTGTGAAACATTTTACTATTGTGAAAACGTTTCAGAAATACTTAACATAAACTGCTATATGAAGAGTTAGTTTTTTCTTTGAGACTTGCTTAAAATTGAACAATCTTTGACAACAAGCTTTGCAACTTTCTGAATTCTGTTTCATGCAGAAAGAAGGGTGCGTCCTAAAACATTATAGGAGAATGAGATATCTCATAACCCAATACTTGAAACCTGATGCAAATAGTTCATTTAATTTTCAAACTGTTTCTTTTTTCATAAGCATTCTTTAAATATGTTTATAAACAGTTAAAACTAGTGAATATGAAAACAATAATAAAATAAACACATCTTTAAGTTTAATTACATATCTACAAGACAAAACTTATTTAATTAGCGATATACGTTTATGTGACTATGGCACAGTTTTTTTAAATTCAATTTTGAGCATTTCTGTCCAAGTTTTACTGTCCTTGGTCGCAATTACCACACATTTGTACTTAGTTTAAATTTCATGGATTCGAATGAAACATCTGCTCTCCCTTTGCAAACAGTGCTTAAACTTGTCAGCGAAGTCTTATCTCCAATTGTTGTTTAAAGTTATATTTTTAAAAATATTAGCTTTAAAGCTAAATCCTTAAAAATTAGATGCCTGCTTATCGATCTGAACAAAGAATTAGCAGTTGAACAGAATATAAGTTGAGCATCCATTGCAGCAGTTTTCAAGGCAGGGAAAAAATTTACTATTAATTTACTTGTATTAGTTACAGGCAATTAAGTAATCGACTAAAAAAATTTTATTATTTAAAACTAAAAATCTTGCAAGCAGAATTATTCACATTGTTACTTAGTTTCTCATATATACATTCTGTCGGTAAAAACAATCACACTAACAGGTGTGTGGGATGTATTATACCACAACATCTAATGAATAAACTGATAAATCCTTTTCTAAGATGCTCACTCAAATTAAAACTTGTTTAGAAGATCAACATTGAGAAAGTCAAATCAATGCAATATAAAATTTTGGTTTCAAAAATTAGGAACATTCAACTTTTTTGTAGGGCAGAGATTTGATACAACTCACATGTCTTCCAGAGATGCCATCTTGCTCCGGACAGCAAATATATATTTTAAAGTGGTAGTTTATAAATTGAGATTCTTGGTTTAATGAATTCAATATAGTAGATTTTTATCCACCAATATTTCTTAATAATTCATAGGCTTATATAATTCACCACTTTGTAGTACTAATGTCATGCTGTACCTTTTAAAAAGCAAGCAAAATAGTCAAATATTTGCAAAATTTAGTTAGTAGTTATTTATCGTTTTTTAATTATTTTGACTTGTCCGGAGCAGTTGGCATCTCTGGTCTTCTCCCAAATTAAAGAAGCAAAATATTAAATAAATTCAAGGATACATTAACAAAAATGAATCATAATTAATACTTTAAAAAAATGATAATTTAAACAGACAAAAGAAGTACCTATTAAAGATTTGGATTAAATTATAAGAAATGATAAACTCAATTTTTCTAATTCAAAGAATCAAGCAGCATTGCAGCATGAGGTCAATATCAAAATAAAATTGCATATAAATTTCCATTACTTTTAAAATAAAAATAGAACTGAGATTATCCTATACCTTTTCCAATGTGTGTTAAAATTGTTCAGATGAACATTTCATCTTAGTCATAACCCATGCACCATGGAGAAATAAAATTTGTTAAGAAGTTTAAAACACTTTATCCAATGATAGTCATTAACAGAGAATAAACCAATTTTTAATTTGGCTAAAAATTTAAATGAAGGGTGACTTTCACCAAAAAAAAAGTTGTAGCTGAGAATAATAAAGATGAAGCGAAGGATTAAAGAAACAAATGATGAGTCCAGTTTTATTTCATTGATGTTGAAAATACCTGCTTAGAAAAAAATGCTTATGATGAATTCTTAAACTGCTTAAATTTCTATAAAGACAAAGCTCTACAAATAGCATTGTAATGATGAAAATGTTAGGTGTGGATTAAATATAACATCGGAATCTCACAATAAACATAACCTGCTAGTGATACTACTATAATTCACGAAGTCCTAGATGCAGAAGACATATTAACTAAGCGTTGAAAAGTCTGAAAAACTGAAAGAAGTAAATGTTATACAATTACTGTTGCGAGGACGAATCTGTCGTCACGTTGTAAGTAAACAAGAAGAATACAAATATGTGTTGGTTTTTCTATTCATGAAATTGCTTTGTTACATTTGTTAGAAAATGAAACAAAAACTTTCTTAAAAGTACCACTTAATTTTAGCAATTTTGTTTATAGTTTGAAGTTTTCACATTTAAAAACCCCACAAGAAAAAGTCAGGTGATTACCATTCAATTATTATCTCTTCGACATACTCGTGATCTCGAGAATCAAGATTCAACTTTAACATCTGCAATCGTAAATAAAATTTACATCCAAAATAAAATTATTCTAAAATATCCTTTTTCAAAAGAAATTTTTTGATTAACCATTTATATAAACATATAATTTAAAAAAGTGTCCTACTTTTAAAAATTCCATTATTTATGATCCTCTAATGCAAATGTAAGAGCAAAACAATTTTGAAATAAAAATAGTTGGCAGAAACCAAACAACTCAAACCATTACAAGTAATTTATTTTCAAAGATATATAATTAAGGCCTTTTTAATGACTGTCTTAAAATTATTTTTAAAAAAATTATTGAATGAAATATAATCATTATTGCATTCACTAATTATTTCATTAGAATAAAATGAAATTAGAATAAAACTAAATATTAGAATAAAACTAATTTTCTAAATATATGCTTAAAAAATTATTTTAAAAAAATTTAAAAAAAAAAAAANATTTCAGCAATTTTGTTTATAGTTTGAAGTTTTCACATTTAAAAACCCCACTAGAAAAAGTCAGGCGATTACCATTCAATTATGATCTTTTCGACATACTCGTGATCTCGAGAATCAAGATTCAACTTTAAGATCTGCAATCGTAAATAAAATGTACATTCAAAATAAAATTATTCTAAAATATCCTTTTTCAAAAGAAATTTTTTGATTAACCATTTATATAAACATATAATTTAAAAAAGTGTCCTACTTTTAAAAATTCCATTATTTATGATCCTCTAATACAAATGTAAGAGCAAAACAATTTTGAATTAAAAATAGTTGGCAGAAACCAAATAACTCAAACCATAACAAGTAATTTATTTTCAAAGATATATAATTAAGTTCTTTTTTATGACTGTCTTAAAATTATTTTAAATAAAATTATTGAACGAAATATAATCATTATTGCATTCACTAATTATTTCATTAGAATAAAATAGAATTAGAATAAAACTAAATATTAGAATAAAACTCATTTTCTATATATGCTTAAAAAATTATTTTGAAAAAAATTAAAAAAAGCATAGCAATCTTGTGGTACTTAAGAATCAAAGGACCATCAAAATTCATTTCTGCTATTAGAAAATACAATCAAAAATAAAGATGTCTCACTACCAATCTTATTTATATTTTTGAAAATATAAAATCATTCTTTCTGAAATGAACAAATTTTATGACAAAGCATCAATTACAAATGAAGATTATTCATTTTAATGTGAAATTTTTTGGACAAATTTGCAGATTACACCACAAACTTGCTTAGAAGTGAAAGTCATGCCATGAAGTTTATAGAAAGTCTACCATAATTTTTTAAACAGTGAACTAGTTTTATTTTATATAAATATATTTAAAATATAGGTTGGCTGTATTTTCAACTGATATAAACTTTAGATCATCAACAAGTGAGTGGCAGTAGTGACTGCTATATTTTTCCCAATCTTGAATAATTCTTAAAATTATAGCATGGAACATGCAATAGGTAAATTCAAAACTTTAACAAAAGCAGCTGGAAATTTTTTTAAAAAATGGATCGAGGAATGTAACAAAACATAAATTCGCAAACTAAACATAACCGAAAAAAGATTATGGAGAATTAAAAAGTTTAAGAGAGGGATTTTAAATGTATACCTAAAAATATATTGACATTGAATTCAAAATTTTATAATTTCTTTAGTAAGTTTGAATAGTTTATTACTTAGACTTAAAAAGAACAACTTAGCAGCATTGAGATTTGATTTAAAATCGCACAACTCGATACCTGTTTACATGATTTAAGATATTGTTTCACAATTTTATATCAAATATCAAGTTTTTGAAAAGCCACTATTATGATTCCTGCTCAAATGACTTAAGCATTTTACATCAGAATTTGTATTCATGCAATTTTGAAATCAAACATTGAGATTCATATTCACTCAATTTTAAACTCAAACATTCAGATTCAAATTCACATGATTTTATAATAAAGAACTGAGATTCATGTTTACATAATTTTAAAATTAAATGTCGAGATTTGTATTCACATGATTTAAAAATCGCACAATGAGATTTGCATTGACACAATTTAAATAAACTTAAATAAATGAAATCTTGTAGCAATATTTTTATTGAAACATTGATAATATTCTGTGGATAAATGTTTCCTACATAAACTTTTTTTTTGCTTAAATGTTAGATATTTTTTCAATTATTCAAAAATGTTTTCACACAGAACAATTGTGGATTTCTATATTCGCTTTTTTATCAAACTCATAATTATGGTATTGATCAAAATAGAACTCTATAAAAATTAAATAATTTTTTTTTAAAAAAATCAACGATTATCAAACCAATTTCACAAAAATGTGGTGGTGACGCAGAAGTTGAAACTGGGTTCATGCTCTACTTTAAAAATAAAATTCAAGTACTTTTTAAGACTAATTATAAAATTTTCAAGGTCTTAAATTAAAAGATAGACTAAAATTTAACATTTTAAACTAAAATGTTTTGAAGTTTATGGTACTAAAAAATAAGACTTCCATTGCTCTCTCTTTATTTCAAAAAGTAATCTAAATAGTACAAAAANAAAAGTAATCTAAATAGTAAAAAAAAAAAAAAAAAAAAACAAGGGTGAGTGACATCAAGTCAAAAATAAAATTTGTGAAGCATAAAAACCTTAGATTTGTATTTTACATAAAACCTATTTTAAGTTAGGTATACAACCTCTGAACAAGCAAAGATTTGAACAAGTCATAAAGAAAAGAGGAACATTTCAACAAGGTGCGTGGCCAAATCTTTCAACAAGAAATAAGCATCTTTAAAGTACTTTTTAAGCACTATAAACAGTAACAAAATGCAAAAAATTTTCAAAGACTTTACACGATCATGATAAAATAACTAGTTTTTGACAAAGAACTCTGTTCTTGATTATATTAGCCATTACAAAATGATAAAGATGTTCTTTGGTTCGATTTTGTGATTTCAGTGAAGCTTGAAAATAAGAATATCTTGCAAAATGCAGCAGAATTGTATATGAGAGTGCAATAATCTCTCTGTACGCAGTTCACTAGACGCACAGGTATTGAATCAAACCTGTAAATGATTGGCGCTTTTATATGATATGAACTGACGATACGCAGAAATAGATTATTGTTAAAGGAATTGTGAAAACGTTGAATAGAACAATCTGAAAAGCATGCTTATGCATAATATGTGGCGTAAACTGGCATGGTCAAGAAGAAAAAAATATCATTCTCGAAAAGGGAAAATTAAGCATTTTTAAAACCACCCAATTAAAAAAGCACTTGTTAAAAATGCAACACAACATGTTTCAAACATTCTATACGAAGGTAAAAACAAAGTATACTTAAAGTTAATTATAATAACAAATCTACAGTTAATGTAAAGAAAATATAAAACATACCAATTAAACTTATTAAAAGATTTTTATTTGTAAAAAACTTAAGATTCTTATATGATATGTAAAGAACAATAGTAGTATTAACAGATATACTAAATAATTTTTGAATGTGCATGGTAAAATATGATTTAGAAAAGAACGAAATTAAGTCCCTGAAAATCAAATTTTAATAAAACAAAATGTTAATGTTGTACTGATATTAATATACAAACGTAACCAACTTTAAAAACACATATCATAAAGAAAGAAAATCCAAGGTTTTTTATAAAAAGTAAAGCAGATCATATAAGTGAATAAATTAATAAAGAAAAACATGTCAAAACTTGGAAAAGCATGCTCAGTTAATAAAAATGAGTGGTTTGGGTTAGAAGTTCAAGACAGAAATACGAGAAATAGGTTTTCGATATTTTCAAGGTCATTTTGAAATTTTCAAGGATTTAGCATTATTTTCAAGTACTTCTTGGAGCTCTTGAAAATCAAAATTAAATTCAAGAACTTTTCAAGGCCGCAGAAACCCTGAGTTAATCAATGCTTGCAGAAAATTTTTTAACTGAGATTTTGTGTTCATAGTTTTCATTTTATCTAACACTGCTCATTAACATTCGATACAGTAAAAATAAAAATATTATGCACAACTTGGATATAATATACTGTTTATACAATAAAAATGAGTTAACAAAATCAAAATTCTAGTACTTTTCAAGGCCGCAGGAACCCTGAGTTAATCAATGCTAGCAGAAAATTTTTTAAATCAGATTTTGTGTTTGCAGAAAGTTTTTCATTTTATCTTACACTGCTAATTAACATTTGACAGTGTTAAAATAAATATATTATATACAACTTGGGATATAATATACTATTTATACATAAATAGGAGTTAACAAAACAAAAATTCTTTAGAGTAAACACTTTCAATAAATAATTACCAATGTGACCAACAATGTGACTATCATACCTCTAGGTTCCTTATCTTCTGGTAATTTTATAGAACTAGGACCTTTTAGCTCTTCAGGAGTGAGAAACATAACTTTATCTTTACCTAAAAGAAGAAAAAATACGCATAAATAATTTAAACTTAGTGTCATAGGCGTAGCAGGAGGAGGCACACTTTTTGTTTTCAAAAAGCTATTTTTTTATTTTAAGTTTTATGTATATATGCTTATTTATGTTTCAGATGTATGGATATTTATATAAAACTTAAGATAGATTAACAGTTTTCTAAAAAATAAAATGTGTGCCCCACCTCACACTACGCCTATGCTTATATTAACAAATGTAAATAGTTTATATTTCATTATATTTTAAAATTATCTTTAATTTATATACTTTCGTCTTTTACAATACATAAATAAAATCATAATTTCAAAAGATTGTATACATGCTTATAATATTTGCTTTCATTTAAATATTTTATTAGCTGATAAATATTGTTTAATTATCCTGTACATCAATTGATTTAGATAGATTTATAAACACGTCTATGTACACAGAATAAATATCTGAAACAAAAATAAAACAATTAAATAATAAGAATTAACCCTCTAAGCTCTTTTGAAAATATGATGACAATGAAAACAATGTTAAAAGTGAAAAAGAAATTGTTAAAAAATCAGCTATTTCAATATTAATAGGTACGAAGACACTGTCCTATGTTGAAATATTAGCATTGAAAATATCAAGTTCCTCCAAGAAATACTTTGAATAATGAACAAAAGATTATAAAAGAATAATTTCATAATTTAAATTACTTCATTGGCTGTTTCACAGGTTGTGTCCTTTAAAAATTGAAAAAGAACTTAAAAAACGTATGCAAAAAGAATGAGTGTTTTATCTCCAGGTTTGAAACCTATAATTAACACAAATTTAGTTTTAGAAATTTTTTCTTAATAGTTTAAATGATAACACTACTAGATTCAGCAGCTGCCCAAGATACATCTCTTTAAAAATTTATCACAAAAATCAAAGTTACTCAAGTGGATAGTAAATGGACAAAACCTTCCTTCTTGTGTTGTAGACTAGAATAAAATATTATTCGGATCAAACTATTTAGTGTATGATAAATCCATACTAATGATACGTATAATACACGTGAATCTACAAAACAATCGATAATCGCGTTTTTTTAAAAAATATTATTTATATTATACAAAATCAATCTAGAATTGAACTATTTAAAGTAAGATAATGTTATGAAGGATATATAATTATAATGTTATAATAGTAATAACATGTAAGGGTTAAATACCATGCGATACACAGTATGACATTATGTTTTCAAATAAATATCACTTTTCCAATAAGAAATATATTATTTTGATGAAAAAATCAATAATTTCTAGTAATTTTTTATTTTATTTTCGGCGAAAAGTTCAAGATTCAAAACTAAATAATAAATATCAGTAGGTGATGCAATGGGAAACAGTTAAAGTTAATAGTTTAAAAATGAGTTCTAAATTTAAGTGAGCCAGGCTTAAGCGAAATTAGAATTTACTAAAGAAAATCAGGAAGACAATATTTATATCAACATATACTTTTACTTAACTTTTTACTTAACTGTAGTCAAAAACGAATAGCAACAAATGTTTCTTTTCGATGTTCACCTATTCCGTTAGTGAATAATTTATTAGAATTACTTTATTAAAATATCAACTAAATCTAGAAACTTAAATATTTCACAATTATTTATCGCAGCATGGATAGTTGTTACACTGAGCATGATCCAAATTTCGCTGATAAGATTTCTTCATTATGCTTTGAAAAATTTAAAAAGCTACCAAAAACTGGTAAACCGCAATCCAAAAAAGAATGGACATTGCTTGCCGGTATTGTTTTCTTCAACAAAACGAATAAAAGTAAATCTTGTAATATATAATTCTTATGGTGTATTAATTTGCTTGTCTGTATATCCAAAAAAAAGTTCATTCTTCTTTTCTTTAAACTCTGGTAGCATGCAATAACTCATTATATTATATATTTTTAAAAATTTCATATTTTGATGATTTCTTTTTATTATTAAATTTATAGGATTCAAAGTTGTGACCCTCTGTACAGGGACCAAATGCCTGGGGTTCTCTCAACTGACCAAAAATGGTAAATTTGTAAAATAGGTATTAATGTTATAGTAAATTTAATTGTTATTATCCAGGGATCTGTCCAGGCCAAATTTACTACCGTTTAGCAGTACCTTCACAAATTCCACTTCAGGAAAAACGGTAGTTTCACAAAATACTTTTTCTTAAAATTTTATTTTTGTATCCCGTAAGCAACGATAAATCTATATTTTTACCATATTTTTGTCTTAATTTGTTTATATAATTTTAATTTCACAAACTATGTCTAAATTTTGATAAAATAGATACCTCTCAGAAAAACCTAGACAAGCCCCTGTTATCTATTTCATACACTGCTTCATATAATACAAATAATAAAAAATAATTTTTATCAAACTCTTATTTTAGTATAATTTTATCTTCATCTTGTGAACAAACCACACTTATTTTAATATGTTTTAATAAATAGATGTGTGATTTATTTGTATTTTATTTAATTGTTTATAAATGTTACTCTGAAAATGTATAAATTAATTATTTTAATTAATAAACCCTCTAGATTATTATTTTATTCTAGCTATAATTAAAATTATAATTTAGTAAAATCTTAAACCATTTTAAAATTTCATTAATATGTCTGTAATTAAAATGTTATATAATGAAATATTACATTAGGTCAATTTTTTATTAAGGAAATGTTGTATTTGATAGTCATGCTGAAGTACTTGTCCGAAGAGCTCTTATTCGGTATGTGAAATATTTTTCTGAAAACCAATTATAATGTTTTATGTTTAATGTCGTATTGTAGTGTAAAAATAAATTAACTTTTTTTTGAGAAGGTGTTTTTAGTTCATTATAATGAGAATAACAATGAACTGGAAATGAGATTTTTATAAACAAAGTTATAATTCATGTTCTGTTGAGAGTTTTAAATGTTTTAATTTAAAAATCCTTTGAATTAATGTTTCCTGTTTTTCCGAGCATGTGTCAGAGGTTTATTATTATTTTAATCATTTTTAATTTATTTAATGGATAAAGATAAGAACTAAATATATTTTTCTAAGAATCATAGTTTTCTTTGTTTCGGAAATATTTATTAACTATCTAAATTTTTAAAAATACCTTCTTTATTTTTTTTTAAATAAAAATTCTTTTTGCTTAAATTGAAGTTTTCTTAATAAAGAATTTATTAGTGTATATTAATTAAGTATGTATTATAAATAAAATTTTAATGCACTAGAACCTTTCAAATCCCGACACTGGTAATCAAATCAAAACTGCAAATATATTTACATACATTCAATTTGTGTATTTCAAAATAAATAATTTCTTTTAACAAATATAAAAATAAGGTCTAACTATCGATGCTCATCCAACCTAATATCCTTTTTGCAGTTTACATTAAAATTAAAAATATATTGCAATAAAATGTGGAATAACTTTGTTTACTAAATCTAAATTTTTTAAGGAATTATTTTAAAAAAATTTAAAAAGCGATATGTATTAATGGTCAAAAGGTCATATATATATTTTAAAAAAAGGCGTTAAAGATGTGGATATAACCTTTTTCCTAAACAAACAGCTGCAGGTAAAATATATANCAGCCAATCTGGTATACTCCCCATACAAGCTATCATCGAAGGCGAAAGAAAAGGAGACCTCTTCATCGAAGCCACCCTCCCTAAAATGCTCTCTTCTTGTTTCCATAGCACCAGACTGCCGCAGACTTTGTGGCGGACAGAGTACCTATCGTAGACAAACAGTATATTTATCAGTTATTAAATATTTTCTTTTGTAAATGTATTATTATTTTCATATTTTTTTATTTACAGATATATTTATTATCACATGTTATTGGTGTTTGACAATAAAGATTCAGAAGTCTTAATTTTTGATGAGAGCAAGAACAAGTTTCAAACTAGACCAGAAATCACATTTCATCTTTTTATTAGCCATGTTCCATGTGAGTTTTGAATGTAGGTTTATAATTATGCAATAGCATTTGTTTACTACCCCTCTCTCTTTATTCATGCAATGTCTATGCTGTAAAAAGTACTATGTATGAATAATCATTAATAAAATGTTCAATCGCTTATTGTATTATGTATCAAGCAGAAAATAATTTGATATGAGTATCACTCAGAAATTTCAACCTTATATTCTATAACATATCAGATGATCAGTGACAATAGTATTTTTCTAGTTGTTGGTCACTTAAAAAATGTACACCAACTATTGGTTATAATAACATTAATTAGTATTTAAATGTGGCAATTTTATTGTTTGCATTTATTATGTCTTAATTTTATAGCTTATTGAAGCATCACAAATGCTTCATAGTTTTTTTATTTATATATATATATATATATATTGTTAATATTGGAAATGTAAAGGGCTAAAAGGATTCAGACTGAAAGACAGAAATGAGCTTTTAAGTATAAAGTTGAAGTTAATTAACTTTATCAATTAATAAATAGAAAATGTTTTTTAAACTAGAAATTAGAATTGCAGTATTTAGAATTTTTGTTTATGAAAAAAAAATTAAAATTAACCCTTTTATTTTCATTAGGTTATTACATATTCCTGAAATTAACAGGTACATTTTACTAATGTAAAACTATTGGTGTTTTTTGTTAAAATCGGCAAAGAATAATGATTGATTATGAAAAGTTCTTTTTTTAATTTTTTCATCAAATATATATTTTTTTTTCTTAAATAAAGTTACTTTAAAGCTAAAAACTATGCCAATCCTTTGCAAAAATTTTAAAATTTGCTATTTTAATTTTCTAAAAAAAAATTTTTTTAATATTTATTTTAAAGTATATGGATTGTATAATTATTTCATGAACTATTTGCTTAATCACCAAAAAGTGATCAAATAAAATTTATTTTATTTCTTCATTATAATAAAATGAGCAAACTTGTTTAGCATCTAAAGTAGCCTATTATATTAAATAATTTGTCTTTGCAAGATATTGTTGCTTAGAAAGTGTATTGCTTCTATATCTTATTAAATTTCAGGTGGCGATGCAGCTATATTTCCCAAACTACTTCCTGCAAAACGTACCTTAGACAATTCTGTGGATGAAGAATCTGCAGAAACAGAAGTTAAAAAATTAAAGATGAAACACACAGAAATAAATGTTAAAAATGTGCAAGATGAACCTGGATGTCCTATTTCTTCAGTTCCAGATATTTATAGGTGAGTACCTTGTCTATTAATTTTAGTGTTTTGTTCCTTACAAAACTAATTTTATGATTTTGAAATGAAAAAGATATAAATTGGTAAATAGTTTGAAATTGATTGATTAGTATAAACAATGAGTTAATATAGACTTTGAAATGTCCAAAAAAAATGAGATTATTGTGTCACAATCGAATCATTAAATGTTTCCAGCCATTATACCCATTTTAAAAAAGGTTAAGAAGGTTTTTTTTAATGTAACTTTATCAATGAATTCATAATTATATCTTAATTACTCAATTGTACATAATATTTTTCTTTTTATTCTATTAGAATTTTCTGCTATATTTTTATTGTTTTTTTCTTTCGTTTTTTTTAAATCCTTTCATCATATTCCAATTTTTTGTTATTTTCCAGAGAAATGAGATTATTGTTTCACAATGGAATCATTAAATGTTTCCAGCCAGTATTCTCGTTCTAAAAAAAAGGTTAAGAAGGTTTTCTTTTTTAAATGTAACTTTATCAGTGAATTCATAATTGTATCTTAATTACTGAAACGGACATAATATTCTTCCTTTCATTGCATTAGATTTTCTGCTATATTTTTATTGTTTTTTTCCTTCTTCTTTTAAATCCATTTATCATTTTCCAATTTTTCGTTATTTTTTTGATATCTTACAAATTAAACAGAGTGACAAAATTTTTCGATTATACACTTTTACAACTATTAAAGTAATACATTAAATTTATCTATTAAAAAAAAGTTTCAATTTAGTACTGATAGTAGATGGAGCATTAGCTTATTTGAAAAATCAGCAATAGTATCATTAATCAATTTATTTTATAGTTATACATATGACTTATATAACTCAGCTTTGTGAGTTCAGTTTTGTTACCAAATATTCCAATTAATTAAATTAATAGTTTTAATTTTATGTAGTATTAAATCATTAAGTAAAAAAGTAATTATTTGGAAAATTTGATTAGATTTGAAGTATTAAACAAAATTTCATTATTTATTAAAAAATAAATGAAATTATTAAGAAAATGTTTGATTATGTGATTAAAACATTTTTATACTTACTATCTACTTATAGCAAATATATATATATATATATATAGCAGTGCAAAAACAGCAATAAAAATTTGCAAATGATGGTACCTCTTTTTATTCCTTTTACAATCAGAATGCCTTTTTATAAAATAATGATTTTTTTCTCATTATTGTCAGTTTAAATAGAAATTATTTTAACTGACAATAAAAATAACTATTATTAGTTTTAATGTCATTAATGTTAGCAATTTAGTAAGAAAATTTTTGCGTGTTTCTGAAATTCTTTAACTGAATTAATCTAAAAAAGTTTTTTTTTTCTTTTTTAAATTAGTGAATGAATTTTTATTTACTTGGAAGAATATGCTAGAAAATATTTGTGTATATTTATAAATTTGCACTTAAATAAATTGTGCTTCTTTGAGAAATCTAATTAAGATTTTATGACTTCATAAATTTTTAGTACTTGTTATTTTTACTTAATAGTNTTATTAAATAAAATTTATATTTTTTATTACGTTTTTACACAGTGGGTTGTTGTATATAAGTCCTTATAATCAGATAATATTATTTTATTTATTTTTTTAACTAACATTTAACTTTTGAATGCTTTTACAAATAAGCAAATTAGAATTTTTTTTCCCTTTAAAAAATGCAGTGGGAATCGGAAAGAATGTTCCAATTTCATTGGTGCACTACTCTAAATGTATAAATGTATTAATTGAAAATGTACATGCGCGCAATTTTAATTTTGTAAATGTAATTTAAAAAGAGTGAATTTTGAATTTTACTCTTTTTAAATGTTTGATGTGTGCACCTTTTGTTTTATGCCATGTATCAAATTTTAAATGTAATTCTTGACAAACTTTGTGCAGCATGTCCATATCAATGCTGGTGATAACAGTTGTAATATGAATGAGTTGTTGGTCCCTGAGGCACAATAACACAAACTTTTACAAACACCCATGGGACAAAATCACATGCGGAAAATCTGGATATTGTGGTGATCTAGCAAGATATGCTTTTTGCAGTAAAAATGCAACCAATCCACCATTGTGGTAAAGTGTTATGGATAGTGTTGTTTTTCTCATCATTTTGTTTTCACGGAAACACTGAGCACAATTTATCTTTCAGCTCCCAACTCTGTTAGCATCTAATTCCTCTGCATCTATGTACATTTTTAACAAATATTATTCATGTTGCATAATACACCTATGAAACTGAGGCATTGATTTTCACTGCATAATGTATTTCTTTTGCCACCACAAATGGCTTGCTTTTGCTATGTATCCTATCATTATTTAGGTATTATGCTGTTATAATTTTGTATTATTTTGAAACATCAGTTTTGTTAAGCTTTATTGTTTCATTTACACACCCACATTGGTTCACTTTCATGCCCATGTCATTTGTGACATGCCATGTTGACCACTCTTAGAAACAATCTCTAATATTCTACCCTTATTATTTTTAAGATTCCTAATAGTTTTTCTCATATTTTAATTTTTTTATTAGTTTATAAATTAATTTTACTATAACAATTTTGTTTCAATTAAGAACAGGAGCTAAATGTGTTGACTCTGGTGAGCAGGATCCAAAAGAAGCCGGAGAAAAGTTCCACGTAACAGGGGTGTTGAGAACTAAACCTGGCCGAGGAGATCCAACGTGGTCAATGTCTTGCAGTGATAAAATTGCTCTTTGGAATATTTGTGGTCTGCAAGGTGCTCTTCTTTCCCTCTGCCTCCAAAATCCAATATACCTATCTTCTATTACATTTGGAAAGTAAGTAAGTCAGTTCTATAACAATATACATCTATATATAAGGTTCATGCTAGTATGGTGTCAATTGTCGCCAAATGTTCTAGAAATGTTACTAAAACTATACATGTAGGCGACAAAATAGTTGTCTTGAAATATGTTTCAAAGTAACAGAAATAGTTTTTTTCATTGAATGCCATGCATTCAATACAATTGTTGTAATAATTTTATTGTTCGACGCATAAGTTAGATTTTTAAAATTTTTCAAATTGCATACTTGAAAGTGTCTGATACAAAAAAATTTTAATTTAAATGCTGATGCTTCTAATTTACATGTTGTGATGTGCTTTGTATTCATGTATTGCCAGTATAATTGACCATCAATGAAAATTTTTTTTGCTCTTTTAGAATTGACTTTATTTAGAATTTTTAGATAAATAATTTTTAATATAATAATTTATTAGTTCTTACATTTTCTGCTTCTTCATTTATTGGTCTAAGCATTTTAATCTATATGTTGAATCTGTTACTAACATTATATTAGCTTTTTTTTACTTTTAATTTAAATAAATACTAATCTTTAATCATTATGGACCTAATCAGTTTTAGAGTGTAAGAGATGGCAGATTTTTAACAAATATTAAGCAATTACTACTTTATGATGTATACTATAACATTAGTTATACAATTGTAAAGTTCGCTTTTTTTTTTCTCTGATCTCAAGTTTGTCTACCATATTCAGTTTTCGGACCACTAAATGAATACCTAGATGCTCTTATTGGTTGATCAAAGCTACTTAATACTATCTACTCTCTTTTATTCAGCATTAAGTATTTTAAAATTGGAAAATTTTATTTTTTTCTAGAAAAATTCTATTGAACTATAGCCTTTTCTGTGATATCTACATATAGAAAAATTATTACTCTTATTATTTTAAGTTGGAAACATATTTTTTTTATAATTTATTTATCTGCATAGTAGTAATTTAATGAGGTTGTAAGATATTTTAAGAGATTGCATCTCCAAAATTTACTCATGTTGAACAAAATTTGTTAATTACTTTAATTAATCAATTACACAAAGACTCATTCCTTTAGCCATCATGTTGAACTTCANAAAGAAACATTGTTTTTCTCTCTTTTAGAATTGATTTTATTTAGAATTTTTTAACTATTAATTTTTAACATAATAGTTTATTAGGTCTTGCATTTTCTGTTTTCTTCATTTATTGGTCTAAGCATTTTAATCTATATGTTGAATCTGTCACTAAGCTTACATTAGCTTTTTTTTTCATTTAATTTAAATAAATACTAATCTTTAATCATTATGGGATAATGAACCTAATTAGTTTTAGGGTGTAAGCGATAGTATATTTTTAACAAATATTAAGCAATTACTACATTATGATGCAATTAGTTAATTAACATTAGTTATGCAATTTTAACATTTGCTTTTTTTTCTCAAGTTTGTCTACCATATTCAGTTTTTGGACCACTAAATGAATACCTAGATGCTCTTATTGTTTGATCAAAGCTACTTAATACTATCTACTCTCTTTTATTCAGCATTAAGTATTTTAAAATTGGAAATAAGCAGTCAGACCAGATGGGAATTAGCAACAACAACAACAATTTATTTAAGAAATAAAATTTCAAAAACCTGTTTATACCTGTTTTTAAAAATATAATTATTCCTTCTGGCTAATATATATGTAACTTGTATTGTATTAAAAATCAGAAAATTATTTAAAAGTAACACTGAAATTTTATAAAAATAAATCTATTTTATTAATTTTTTTTCTCTCTAAAGATTGCATTATGATAAATGTTAAAACAAAGAGATATTTTATTTAATTTATTTTTTATAGATTTTATTTCTTCCATTTTCAGATGTCCTTTAAATAAAGCTGCTGTTGAAAGAGCAGTAGTGCAGAGACTTCTAAATGTCAAGAATTTGCCATTTCTGTATAAGATTAATCAGCCAAAAATTCTGCAGAGTAACCTTTCTTTTGAATTTAGTAAAGAAAATTTAATGAAAGAAAATGAAAATGCTGTTCCATGCTCATCATGTTAGTTAGAAAATTTAAAAAAGATCTTTATTAGTGTATTTATTATTTTTTTGGCATTTATTTTGATGAAAACATTATTTTTCTTACAGCAATTATTTGGTGTGATATACCTAATTTTTTAAATGTCAGCGTAAATGGAAGAAAACAAGGAATAACAAAAAAGAATATGGACAAACCACACTCTAGGTGAGATATTTAAAAAGAACCTACTGACAACTCTTTCTTTTAATTTAAATGGATTTGATGAACAAAAATTGTTTGTTATAGCCAAATTTACTTTTTCATATTTTTTACTAAACTAAACTAAAAACTTCTTTAGGATAATTTTATTATTACTATTAGTCTTAACTTATTTCACATTCTTCTAACTAAAATTTTTCAAAATAGTATTGCTACCAAAAACTATTTATTTTATTAGTTTTTTTAGTTACATAATATATATTAAAAGAGAAACTTATAAACCATGAATTTAAATGAGATTTAAGAGCTTTCAGAAATTCCATGGGTTGTAGCTTTCTTGGGAGCCACATAAACATTGAATAATTGATACAATTTAACTAATTCTGTCATTTTATCCTAAAAGCAAAAGATGTAATTTGGTTTAATTGCAAATAGCATATTTAAATACATTTTTAACTGTAAATGTCTAATTAGATGTCTTTAATTACAAATTCAAGAAGCAATCATTCTATTACAAAAAAAGTCATTTCCAGCCATAATCTTTCTCTACTGTATTTTAATGCTACATCTTCATTATTAAATTTGTTTGAAAACGATACTGTATTCGGCATAAAAAAATTTCTCAAACTAAATATTTACTTTATGAAATTTTTAGTTTTTTAAGAAAATAATTGTAGTTGATTAAAGGTTTTAATGAATAAATTATAGCTCTGAAATCGCAAATATCCTGCTTATTATACAAAATATATTTTTATTATTATTTTTTTTCCAGTTAAAGTAAATACACACCTCTTTCTTAGAAGGAGAAAAAATGGTTTGGAAACCAACCTATTTTTTTACTGAAAAAATTGTTTTATAATTTACAAACAATCATAATTTTGTTGACCTATATTTGAAATTATTTCTGTTACATATTAGCTGTTTGAAGAAATAAGTCAAAATTAAAATTTTTCTGTGTTGATAAAATCTTCATATTTTTCAAAATTTCGTTTTACCTTAGGTGTTGATTAGAAACTCACTTTGGCTGGGTGCTGGGATTTCAAAGTTGTGTCTAATTATCTTGTTTTTTTGTTAACGAAATTGACCTCTGCTTACTAGATGATCAAATCTATTCTATATTAAGTTGTCTTTTTTTAATTCCATACAAATTGTGTATTGTTTTTATTAATATATTTTATTGTGGTACATTCATATAATAAATTATAAAATAGTAAAGAAAACAAATTTATTGACTTAATTATAAATTTTAAATGTTTTTGCTTATAATTTTTATGCATTTTAGGATTGGTGTTTGCAAAAGTGCATTGTTTGAAAACTTCCTCAGCTTAGTTCTTAAAGATTCTCATAAAATTTTAAAGTAAGTATATATTGATGTGTAATTACTTGCTTGTAAGAAGATCATTAAGCAAATATATAGAGAGCAAAGTGGATAAAATCATATGTGTAACGTAATTCCTTGTCAAAGACATCATTTGTATAGTTCTTTTAAAAATAATACATTGTGTATTTATTTTTTTTTCTGTATAAGTGTTTTTGTAAATTTTTATTGTATTTCTATTTTACACAAAAACTGTAGTGGTCCAGTTTTAAAAAAATTATGCTCATATTTTTGTCTTAGTTTATTTTTTCTGTAGATAATAATAATAAAACTTATATTCTTTTTGTTTCCTTGGTATGGAACAGAAACTAGCTTAAATAAATTTTTAAATAAATACTGAGATCATGTTGTATATGCTAATTAAAAANTTTGTAAATTTTTATTGTATTTCTATTTTACACAAAAACTGTAGTGGTCCAGTTTTAAAAAAATTATGCTCATATTTTTGTCTTAGTTTAACTTTTCTGTAGATAATAATAATAAAACTTATATTCTTTTTCTTTCCTTATAGAACTATTTGCGTAAATTTTTGTTTCCTTGGTATGGAACAGAAACTAGCTTAAATAAATGCTGAGATCATGTTGTATATGCTAATTAAAAATGACTTGTTACCTTAGGATCATACACTGAGTACGTACATAATCATGAATGTGCACAATATTGACTTTGTCATCAGCATTTTATATATTTTAAAATGACATGTAATTAAATTAGAATAGAATAGTAAATTGAATAAAACAAAAGAAACATGAATGCAATACAGTTCTATTCAAATATTTTTTTTTCAATTTACTTTTCTATTACAATTTAATTATAATTCTGTAATTTTTTAAAAAAAATTTTATAAGTATATTTGAAGACAAATTTCAGGCTTATGCTACCTTAGCACTTTCCCAAGTGCGGTTTTTTTATGATAGATATTCAATTCTGCTTTTCAACAAATATTTATTTTAGAATCTAATTGAAATACTCTAGCAGCAAAATAACGTGGGTCCTCATTACACCAATATTCATGAATCTTGGCTCAATAAGATTTCAGAGGACCGCTATTTTCCCACATTGGCTCGATATAAAATTGTCCGATTCATCGGATATTTTACAGCTACTTTACAACCAATATCAGCCTTATATAGAATTGTCAGATTCACCCTATATTCATTATTCAGCCACTATAGGCCCTATATTGGCCGTATGTAGGTTGATATTGTCTCCATAAGGAACCAATATTAAAAAATCTAGGCATCCCAATATTGGTCCCTCTTCGTATATTCGTAAAGGACCTATATTGAGCCAATTTTGAACCCAACTGGGATCAAGGTAAAATTGTTGCTAGGTTAGTTAAGTGCAAAATCAAACTATGCTCTCAAAATTTACGCTACCAGAAGTAATCAAAGGCATTCATTTAAAAGAATTAATTTTTTTTGCAGCATTTTTTGAAAGTATAAAAAAAAATCTGTGAATTTTTTTTTCCATTTTTCTTTTTCTTTTATAATAGTAATAATTTGTTAAATTTTTCCTACTATTTGCTCTGTTTTTAGATTTTTGAAGACATCAAAATAAGAATTTGTTTTAAAATAAATAAATGCAAACAATATTCTTATTTTTAAAAAAAATAATAATCAGGCAGAGCAATGCTGATTTCCAAGAACTCTCTTGTGTGTAAAATTTTTAAGAATAGGAATTTGAAGAAAAAAAATTAAACTGTAATATTTTTTGTATAATTAATAGATTATTGAATTTTATTAACTTTTAGCATGGTTATCATTATGACTTAAGTTTCTCTTCAAATGCTTTGATTTCTTTTCTGCAGTTGATTACAATTGATTTTTAGCAAATTAAAATTTATAAAAATGGTGTTTTAAATAATCTAATTTGCATCATCCTAAAAATTTTATCAATGAAAAAGACATCAAAAAAAAAATTTTTTTTCTCATTTATGAAAGTTTCTTAATTGCATAAATTAAGCTAAAAGTTTTTTTTTCTATTTGAGAAAAATGTCTATTTCATTAAATCATATAAACAGTTTCACATTTTTAAAAAATATTGTTGATTTTCTAGAATTTGCGACTGCAATCAATAAATTATGGGCTTAGTGCAATACATTGATAAACACATATTTAAATTATTAAAGGAAACATGTTGATAAAAAATACATTGTTTTTGTATAAATAATTAAATGATGAGTGTATTGTGATGTGTCAATGTTTTGTGATATTTTCTAATGGAAATTTTAGAAACTAGTAAAGTACTTATTTAAAAACAATGCCAAGTAATAGTTTGATGTAAAAATACTGCCTTTTGAAAAAATGTGGCTTGTCACAATATTTACCTGAGCCATTTGTATGAATTAAAATTATTTAGGCAGTGTTAACGGTTAGTCTTTTCCCATCAAAAATTTGTTGCTGTTTGGTTCTTCTTTATCACTACGTATTGTATATGCTTTTGCAAGTTTATCAAGTTTAATTATTTCTGATTGGTGGTTTGGTAAAGGGATTTTGATACATTAAGAGAGAATCTACTAAACTTTACAGAATTTTAGATGAATAATTACATTTTTTTATGAGAATTTTTACTTTTATCAGTAGTGTGTACTATTTTTCAATATTTTATTTCTTTCTTTTTTTTATAGTATACATTTTAGTGGGGTTTTTTTTCTTCACATTTTAGTGTTTATATGCGTGCATTAAATTTTTTGACAAAAAATTTTTTTGAATTATAAATTTCATATTCAAAAAAGTAAACTTTCTGAAAAAATCTTCCAGTAGATGAGAGGATTTAAACAAAGGGAAAGTTTTGAAAATCGATTAATCGTTTCAGTAGTTAAAAAAAGCGACTTCATTGCTGGCTATTTTAACATAAGCTGTATAGGAACAGCAGACTTTTTTTGAACAAAACTAGCCATTTTATTTACCTTTATTACCTCTATTTAACTCTATTACTCTCTTTATTACCTCTATTTATTACTCTCTATTATTATTTATATTATTATATTTACCTTTGACACTATATTTTTCATTTTCTGAGATGAATTGAAGAATTATGATTATTTTTATATCAAGCATATAAGTTGGAATTAACTTCAGAAATTAGGATTTTTTTTCCTTCTAAATTATACTTTTTTCAATTATGTTTGTTAGATAATGTTTTGCGTCATTTTGTTTGAATAAAATTCAAGTTTTAGGTTCCGTTTTTTCTTCTAGCGTTTTTTTTTTTTTTTTTTTTTTTTTNTTTTTTTATAAAATCAATTTAAATTAAAATATTATATAACGAAATTTGAAAATTCATTTGAGCTCTTATCTTTTACAAGTTATGTAAAAAGAAAGGACATTTTTTTTTATTTACTACTTAAAATATCATTGTAAAATTTATACTTAAATGATTTGCACTCTTTGTTATTGCTTTATTACATAAAAATATACAAATTTAATTAAAATAATTTTAATGAATTTTTAATATTTTAGAAAATATAATTTCTTTTTAAATCATATTTTTATAGACATTTTCCTAAAGATGATACTAAATTGACTTATCTAGACTATAAATTGATGGCTGAAGATTATCAAAGTGCAAAAAAGGCAGTTTTAGAAATATTTGATGGCTGGAAAAAGAAACCAGATCATTTACAGAAATTTGAAATCATTGTACCTCAAACTTAGTCAATAAAAATTTTAATTAATTTTTTGTAGTGTGTTAATGTTATAATTTTATTTTAATAACTGTATACAATAAAGATATATTATCCATATGAAATAGTTACAAATCATTATACAATATTTTAATGCAATGTTTGTGTGTGCGATTATGAAAGCAAGCATTTAACTTTTTTTAATTTTCTATTCTATATCTCTTATTGAATTTTAAAGTTGACACAACTGTTGTTCAAAAAAGATTGGAATGTAATTCGTTTTTTTTCTTCTTTTTTTACCCCCCCCCCTCCCCAGAAGTATTTGGTTTCGAAAAAAATTTGCTCCATTTAGACTCCGGTTAATTAAATACTAAGTCCTGGGGATTATAAGAGGAGGAAAATTATTTTGGATATTTGCAATTATGAAGAAAAAAATTATAACTCAATTGCCTGAATATTATGACAATGATTTAAACTTTTACTTATCACAATATTGCAATTTGCTAATAAGCTTAATTAATCACATTTAAATGCTTTTGAGTCTCTGTTTAACCAAACTGTTGAAACTATTAAAATTCAAATTGTAATTATTAAATAAATTATCAATTANTCGAATACCAAAGGCTTTAGATGATAGCACCAGTGAAAGTGTGAATTTGTCCCCAAGAGAAAAATTTTTAACTCAGACACACTATGTCATTTGTGACAATTTGAAATTTCATTTAAGTGAAAGAAAAAAAGCTTACAGCTTTCTCGAAAGAAGGTTTGGATTTCTAACCAATAAGAAACCAGTATGCTTGGAAACAGTAAAGCCATTTCAGGAAGCATACTTTGAAGATGTTGATGATGGACTTTTTGACGAACTTGTGCAATTCAAAGACTTTTTGACTGATAAGTCAACATTAAAAAATCCTAACTGACGTCGCTCCTTTTTTCGGTGTTCAATTTGCAAATTAGATAATTAAAATTACTTAGGTGTGCTGAAAATTTTCAGAGAGTAAGATACTTGTAAAAAAATATGAGTCTGGCCACTTTACCGTCAGCAGAAACACAGCAGTTGAAATTTGACGTTCTTAAAAAGCCATTTTAATTTATGAGCTTCATATAAATTATTTCTAAAACTCCGATTTGTTGGAAAGTAATTGTTAACTTCAACGTTTCTTTCTGACAATTTTACTTATGCATTAAATATATTCAAATTAATCAAGGAAAAAATTTATATTATAAAAGTTTGTCCAACTAATTAAAAGATTTATTGTAGATAAGAAAAATGGCCTCTTCTAACAAATTTAATTTTTGCTATGTTTTCACACATGTATGTATTTGTTGCACTTATTCATATTTATGACTAGTAGAACACTGGAAGATGTTTAATGCTTTGGCAAGATCAGACTAGACGCACCTTAAATTATTGTATACTACTTTAATGCTCTGCTTATACTAACGTTGCATGGAATTGCACCCCTTCTCAAACATATTAGATATCTTGAACACATCTTGCTGCCGCAATAGTCTGGTAAAAAATGAACGCACCTTCCACAAACGCAATTTTGTTGTAAATATTCATCACAAATAGGAATGCAGTAAAAATTAAATGTTCTTTATTGCCCTCTGTTTAATTTACAATTTTCTCTCTCACCAGGGGACTCCATGCTATCGACCATACTAGATTTTTGACTCTTTTTTTTTTTTAGGTATGCTTGCTTTACCCTTTCAATTTTACCATGTTATTTTTAAAACACCAAGTGTATCAACATGTCTCTTACCTCATTTTAATTTTTGTTATTAGTCATATTTAATTTAGTGAAAATAAATTTCTTTAAGAATTAGGAAAACATGGACGTTTTTTTAATGTCACCCGCTCCTTAAAATTAAGGAAGAAAGCAATCACAATAATATGAAGAAAGCTTTATTATACCGAGTTAATGCACATCCAGATAATATCTGCATCAAACCTCTATAGTACTGCTTTAATTTAAGGATCCTTCATAAATGATGTTACGCTTGGAGGAGAGGAAGGCGATTCGTGAAATTATAAAAGTTTGTGACAAAGGATGGGGTAGGTGTAATATGAAGTGTAACACCCCAACAGTATGGCTAACAACAAAAAAAAACGTTGTGCTTTGTTTCGGAATTAAAAATATATGGTTATGAAATATTGCTGACGTGTAGTGTAACAATGGGAAAAAGTGTGACACTTTCTGACAAAAGGGATCAAAAATATTTTTAAAAAAAAACAAAAGGGTGAAATTTTTTATGCACGGCTCCTTAGTTTTCACTTAAACTGTAAATTCCTGATTCAGCTGGAAGTATGCTTCTTTCAATTATATAAACTTGTATTGAATATTTTATATTTTTTGCCAAACTCGTGACTAAAATTTACTTAATTCAAGATCAAGACATTTATAATCTTCTTTTCATTACAGGATGTTATAGCAAAAAAACTGTTTCAATAAAATAGCTGAAAAATTGCAATTAATTGATTTTGACAAGTTTAGTTTTTAAAACTTAGTGTTGAAAGAAAGACCATGTAATTATTATCGCTTTTACAAGTTTCTTCTGCTCCTTCATTTAAGATAAATGCAGTAAGGGAAGGAAAGGGAGAGAATTCAAAGTTTAAAAAAATAAAAATAAAAAATGAAATTGGGGTTAAAAAAAAGGGTAAAAAAGCCGTGAAGGGAGAATCGTGACTAGCATGTTTGAAATATGTTTCTATTAACCTAAATGATGTAAAATCAACGATAATTTTAAAAAGTCAAAATTGAAAATGCGCACAAAGTTCTAATTCAAATGGAAAATTGCCTTGATATGATAAAATCTCGACTATCGCAGGTTGTTCTCGATCATTAGCAACATTTTCAATGCCGAATAATACTGCGTGTGGTTTTGTTGCTTCTATTTGAAACTGACAAATTTCTCCAACCGATCCATTATGTACGTTGATATCAGGTTAAATAAACCAATCAAAACATTTATTAGTGAATACAGGGTGCGTTCTGAAAGTAATGCGCATGATTTTATTGTGGCGCGACTATTGATCGCAGCGCACTCAGATCTAGATCAAAAAATGTGGTGGGGGATTTGTCCTTCCAAACAAGCCTGGTCTCAGGTCGCTCCGGGCAGTAGGAGCGGTAGGACACGTCTTCGCGCAAAGTTTTTTTTTTCCATCGAGTCACGGCGTGATGGAGTATTCGTTCGCTGGAACAGCAGTACGCGATAAAGTTTTGTGTGCGACTTGGGAAGAATGCGACGGAAACTCATCACATGCTTCAAGACGACTTTAAGGAGGAATGCATTTCGAGATCTCAGTGTGGTAGGTAGGCACAAGGCCTCAAAGGAGAGTCGGGAGAAGGACACCGACGAGCCTCGTTCTGGACGCTCAACAACAGCCCGACCCTATGGAAACGTCCAGCATGTGCGTGAAGTTTTGAAGTCAGACAGATCGGTTACGCATTCAGGTAATCGCTAACACCCTAAACTTGTGAAAATGTGTGGTACATGGGATTGTAACGGAGGATTCGCAAATGCAAAAGCTCTGTGCGAAGCTTGTGCCGAAGGTGTTGACGGAGGAGCAAAAAGAAGTTCGAGTTTTGCGCAGTGAAGAATTGCTGGAATTGATAAGTTGGTGCCCCAGCCTCCCTGTAGCCTTGACTTGGCGCCGTGTGACTTTTTTTTGCTCCCCCGACTGAAAAGAGAGCTGAAGGGAAAGCAATGGGAGTCGGTGGTGAACATACAAGCTCATGTTACAAGGTTCCTGAGAGGCATTCCTATTGAGGAGTTCCAGGGTGCCTTCCAGACGTGACAGAATCGTCTCCGCAAGTGTATTGATGCACAAGGGAACTATTTTGAAGAATTTTAACCATTTGTACCCATAGGATCAATAAATCTATTTTTCCCAGAAAATGCGCATTACTTTCAGAACGCACCCTGTATACTCCAATATAATTCACGTTTCCAAATGACTTCATTCTGTGCTACACATATCATGCGCCAGAATTACATTACAGAGGTCAAATGGTGTCGGATCTCTTCAATTATTGCCTGACACGAATCACACATTCTTACAAATTTATTTCATCAGTAGCACTGATGATCAAATCAATCGCTGTTGTCATTTAAATTCTAACAGTAAACCAGAAAATGTCACTTTTTCGATCAACATTATCAGTTAATCAGACTATTCAGATTTGCCCTAGATTAAATGCCATCTGATTACTACTACAAAGTTGTTGCAACGAAACGCCAAATTGTCTATTTTTTTCTCTAACATATGAACAGAAAAATGTATATATTACCATTAATAAAACTAAATTATACATTACCAATCAAAACGTTTTCCGTTATTAATAATTTAAATAATAAAAAAATGCTTAAATAGTTTTTCATATACTTCAATAATGTGTTTTTCGACTGATTTAGATAATTGATTGAAAAAATTTATAAATAAAATGTTTGCAATGCATGTATATTAATTAATTAACAACAAAAAGGTAATATGAAAATAATTCTTTATTTCCTTAAAAGGAAAATAAATAAATTTTGAAACATTTACCAAATAATATTTTTAGACAATGAAGAAATAGCAATAATATAAGAAAGAAAATTGTTTTAGCTTTTTGCTGTAACTCAAATTGTCCGTCTCGCAAAACAATAGTCCGTTCTGTGAAACATCAATCAGTCATACATAACAATAGTTCGTCATGCATGAGTCAATGGGAAGCTTTTCAGTCAGTCACAATCATTTTATTACTTTTTCCAATGAAAATTTTCACTTTCAAATCACGATTAGCAAACTAAAACTGTCCGTCTTGCAAAACAATTGTCCGTCGTGCAAAACAATAGTTTGCCATACATGAGTAAAAGAAAAATTTTTTAGTCATCATCATTCTATTATTTTTCCAATGGAATTTGTCACTTTTAAGTTTCGTTTGGCAATAACTAATATTGTCCGTCATGCAAAACATTAGTCCTTCCTGTGAAACAATAGTCTATCATGCAGAGCAATAGTCCGTCATGCATGAGTAAATGGGAAACTTTTCAGTCAGTCATAATCATTTTATTACTTTTGCAATTAAAATTTTCACTTTTAAATCACGTTTTGCAAACTAAAACTGTCCGTCTTGCAAAACAATTGTCCGTCATGCAAAACAATAGTTTGTCATACATGAATAAAAGGAAAACTTTTTAGTCATCATCGTTTTATGATTTTGAAACGTAAATTCCAGATTTAAATCTCTTTTTGCATTTACTCCAATTGTTCATAAAGCAAAATCACTGTCTTTGTCAATAATTATTTTATTCCGAAATCAAGAGCCAGAGTAATCTAGAAGAAAAGATATTTTGTGTTATAATGTTAATAACAAAAAGGCGTACAAAAAAATTTTAATGTAAGAAGAAAGCGAGATTTTAGATTGAATTGTAATCTATCTGACAAAAATTAATTTTCTAGTTTCTACAATTACACTGGGGAATAAAGTTTTTGTTGGATTTTTAAAGTTAAATTTGATCTCACCTAATTCAGGTATGGGGATTTCAAATCTCAGAATAGTTTTATTCCAAAAGCAACAGATTTTTTTTTTCAAAATGTTCAAATGTTCATGTTTACAAGTTTAGTTTATTATTTTCTTCTGAATGTACAAGTTTATCAGGAACATATATGTTCATGTTCCTGATAAACTTGTACATTCAGAAGAATATACTTGTATGTATTACTTATATAAATATACTTGTCTGCTCCTTTGAAACGAACACTTAACACTCGATCACTCGAATGAATTTTTAAAAAACAAATCCTTTTTAAAATGAATCCTGGGAAAAAATGGAAAAGAATAATTTTGCAAACTTCACATATCTTACCTATTTTTTAAACAGTCCTATACTTTCTGGTGCATTCTAGTATTTTTTTTTTATAAATTGAGCAGTTTTCAAGTCAATTTCGAAAGACTAAAAAATAATAACTGAAACATTTTTTCAGTTATTGCTGTGTTCTGTCTGCAACTAATGAGGTAGAGAAGGCAAGCTTTTAATCTTTTCATTTAGCAATAAAAAAATGTTCCAGCTTTTTACAAGTTTCATTCAGACGTTGGACCTTTTCTGAGCTAATTTTATTGTACTGAAAGAGGTTATTATTCAGTTTTAAAATCCCATTCTAGCACCTAGTTTAATACATTTTAAACATACTAGACCCAAAATGTTTACGCAAATCCTTGAGTTTTTGAGTTAATTTTACTGTATGTAATAATGAAGAAAGAATGTTCAAATCAACGTTCATTGCAGCCTGGTTGTAGAATTTACCTAGTAAATCGATCCTCATGAATCTAAAATTTTTTGCAACCTTAAAGAAGTCAGTTGTTGTTGCTGTTGTTCATTTTACGTCGCACTAGAGCTGCAGAATGGGCTATTGGCGACGGTCTGGGAAACATCCCTGAGGATGATCCGAAGACATGCCATCGCAATTTTGATCCTCTGCAGAGGGGATGGCACCCCCGCTTCGGTAGCCCGACGACCTGCACTCGAAGTCGAGCACTTTACGGTAGAACAGTTTAACGAGGAAACATACCGCACACCCTCGGTCCCTACGCAGGCTGATCCAAGTGGTCACCCACCCACACACTGACCGTAGCCAGTGATGCTTGACTTCGGTGATCTGCTGGGAACCGTGTCTTAACGATCAGTCCACTATGGGACTTAAAGCAGTCAGACAGATATTATTTAGAGTAAATATTCGGCTTAATCTTACATGCATGTAACAAAATTTGGAATTATAGTGTCCTTATACATAATTTTATATTGTTTAAATTTAAGCATGTTTAATTTGAATTGAAGCAAATGGTCCTAAAAAAATGGATTAAATTCGTATACAGTTAGTTAAATTCTACCAGCAGAGAAAAAATCTTTACTTTTTGTTCTTTGTGGAGTGTTTACCATTCAACTTTTTAATTTTTCTTAGAAACAAGTTTAGAGATATTTTAAAAAAGAGTCCCAGCAATTTTTTCAATATTTNTTTTTTTTTTTTTTTTTTTTTTTTTTTTTTTTTTTTTTAAATTATATATTGAAAGGATAACACAGATGAAAAATCTGCAGATTCTAAAATAATATGCAATGCTGAAGGGTTTCCGATTATGAGTATTATATTAGTAACTTATCTTTTAATTAGTTTTGTGAGTTAACGCGATTCAATAGTCTGGGATCACGTATCTATAACCCCATTTTAGGTATTTAAGTTTTATTCTGAGCATAGCACAATAATTTTTAAGTACCACATATTTGTGTCCTAATCTCTCAAGTGCGGAGTTTATTTTTTTTTAAAAAATATAGAATAACAAACTTACTTGTAGTTAATTTGATCCTCGCTTCTTGAATAAACAAAATACATTTCTCCAAGCAGCTCTCATCCAATTCAAAGCACGTCCCTTCTTTTTTTCTTTTTTAATTTTGGTATGCTCTATGTTAGAAAAAGAAAGATCTAACGTATACTGTCAAAAATATTTTTAATCAGCAATTATAAAGATATTTTATTTATATTTCGTAACCGGCCTTGAACAGCCGATCCAATTTTGAGTATACGACTATCAATGTTCAATTACGTAGCTTTGTCATTTTTAGTCCAATCCAGGGAACTCCTGGATGAAGCATCGGGACAAATTAGCCCTTCGTTGAAGACTATTCGATGAAATTAAGCAGCATTTGCGTAATATAGAGAAGAAAACCAAGAGAACTTCTCATGGTTAGTTTGGTGGCAGGGGGCGGGTAATAACCCAGTATCCCATCTACCATTGAGGATATTTCACATCAGCACTGTTCTCGGTGTGAGACGGGGCAAAATTCGTATAGACATGTCAACGCTGAGATTCGAACCTGGGACCTCATCGGGAGGCGAGCGCTCTATCCCTTAGGCCTTCGCGACTCTATGTGGATATTTATTATTTATTTATGACAAACACAAATCGTTTTGTTAAGCTTTTGTGATATGTTTTTATTGTCCTTTTCAAAAATAAAGTCAAATAATTATACACATTGGCCGTTTGATTACTAAAGAAATAAAGAAGAGTTATAAACACACAAGTGGGCGACCTTTGTGCTAAAATACAAACTAAGGTAAACAACGTTTCAGAGCACAAAAAAACATTATAAATGCAGACAGCTGTTTCGGATGCTCAAAGGGCAACCTTCATCAGTGCAACAGCTGTTCAGCCTTCAGCAACCTTCATCAGTGCAACTGTTGCACTGATGAAGATTGCCCTTTGAGCATCCGAAACAGCTGTCTGCATTTATAAATTTTTTTTGAGCTCTTAAACGTTGTTTATCTTAGTTTGTAAGAGTTATAAAAGATGATTATTGGAAACACCTCGCTGTTTCAACGAACAATTTATCTTGTTTTGATGTTTTATGCCGCTCTAAGGATTTGTTAGATTTCGATTGTGTTTTTATTTTATCATCGCTGAAATTACTATTTGCTATCCCCAATGAGTAGACTTTAAATTAATTAAATTAATTGCAGATTTAAATATTTAAATTAATTGCAGAATGTACGAGGCACTTTATAAACTGTGCGGATATACATTTAACTCTCATACATTACCGCAATCTTAAATTTACATGCGTTACATTTGTTGATGGAACAGATTTTATTTAAGCACAAAATGGTTTTGCATGAAATTATTAATCATATTTGCACGTTACTTATTGATTACCTGACTTTTATATAAACATTTAAAAAAAATTCATACATCTTATAAAGGAGAAAATTTATTTTAATTAATTTACTTGTAGCAGAAATGAAACTTATACTGAAATAAAAGTTGCTGCAAAATTCCCTTAATAGTTAAGAAATAGTGTGCTCATTATGTCTTTATTTATACTTAGGTAATTAAATTTTACGTTTTTCGAAGTCAACAAAAATGGTTGAAGAAAAAGTGATTGTTTAATCTTGTCAAGTAATTGAATAATGCATTTATTGAAGTTAACAAAAATGTTTAAAGAAAAAGTGTTTGTTTATATACTTGTTTTAAGAGTTCTCACCTTTATGAACAATCTCTACTTCATCAGTGTTTATCCTTACGCTGTCAATAGGTTTATTAAGAATAGACACTCCGTTTATCAGATTCATATTCTCCGATTCGCCAGTTTTCTTTGTAACTGCTTCGTCTTTTATGTTTTTGTCATCCGAATTTCTCTTTATCAGACTCTCTATCCTCTCTATTTTGATACGCAGATATCTCATTTCATCTGTCAATTCATTTATTTTGAGCAAAATGAGATCCATCTTTTTCTCCATATCAGTCCTAGTATTATCACCAATTTTTGCCATCCTTTTTTCCATCTCTAACTCGTCAATATCAGTAGGTTCCACAAAGCACTCATTCTCTGACTTGAGAGTCATCATCTCTGTTCCAGATTGTTCCATACTTTGTTTATCCGTAGATTTATCTGTAACAATCTCGCTCCTTTCGGATTCAGTCACTTGCTTCAAATCAGTTTCCGAAAGAGTTTTTGGCGTCTGTGGCTTTTCTGCATCAATATCTTGGATCGCAGATTCATCTACTGATAGATGCTCAATACGGAGCATAGGCTCAGTGCTTGGCGGAGTCTGTTTAGCATCTAAGTTTTCATGAAAGCTGTCATCAACTTTTTGAAAAAAGTCATGCATCAAAGCTTCAGAAGCTGGTAGTCTATGTGATGCGTCAAAAGTTAAGAACTCTTTCATGAATCTGAGAGCAAGTTCCACATCTGTCTCACGCAGGTCATCAGCACTGAATAATTTTGTTATTGGCCACAGTAATCCATTTTCCTGCAAATAAAGTTAAGTGTAGCTATTATATATTTAGATATAATTATAGTTGTTAGAAGTTCAATTTTTTTATGTTTAGTTCTAAATTTAGGAAAGTCCTATAGAATTCATGCTGCATTTGTCCGATAATTTCTCACATTACATTACATATCCTTGCTGCGTGAGTTGAAAGAAAAATAAGTTTGTTTTTCAGAAAAACAGATAGGTATATTCCGAGTAAAAAAGCTAAAGTGGTTAAGTAAATGCCAGGTTACTTATTTTACGATGTTTAATTGTGGATGAAAATCGTGAACTTACATTTAGTAAGATCGGGTTATCAATGACTTAACTATGTAAATGTGCAAACACTAATTTGGTAATCTTAAAGTCAGAAATTGTGTAAGTTTGACAAATATTTTTTCCGGCTTGTGACACTGAAAGACTGCTTTCAGACACCTTTTTTGAATCCTCGTGTAAATAGGATGTAATTATGATCCAAAGACATGGCATCACAATTTTGATCTCCTGCGTACGGAATGACTCGCCCGTTTTGGTAGCCGCACTAACCTCACGTGAAGTCGAGCTGTTTATATGGTAGAACAGTTTAACGAGGGCGAGTACCGCACTCCCTCCATCTCCTCGCAGACTAATCAAAGTGATTACCCATTCCCGACATTGGTGATCTACGGGGAACTATTTCATGCGGTCAGTCCGCACTGTGAGACCATACAGTATGAAATAAAACTATACCTCTAATAGGTTAAATACAGTAGTATACATTTCTTTTCTCTCGCCAATGGATGCCGCATTTGTTATGGCGAAACAACCTAGTAGTTCCATAGCCAGACAACCGAAGGCCCACATGTCTATGCTAGTTCCATCAAGGTTTTCTCTCCCTTTGGACAAGACAACTTCAGGTGGTTGGTATACAAGTGGCATGCCAATCTGGTGTCTGCAACAAAAAATTTTGTCTTTGGTTAATAAATAAAACGCGTTTTTTTTTTTTTTAAATTTTACAGTGCTAAATTATGGTAAAATAGCTAGATTATAATATTAAAACTAAGGAGAAATTCTATACAATTAACCTTGAAGGTTTTAACTTTTTTACAATTAAATTAACTTTTTTACCCATGCTTGAAGATCTCTGTTATATCAATTTACTTTTATATACTGATCTAAACCTTGCAGATTTCGAATGGTGTTGTTTCCTAAAATATTTCCTGGACTCTCAACTTTTCACTCAAATGCATAAAAATTCTCGAAGTTCAAGTGAATTTTTTTACGATAACAAATTTTTTTTGTTTGCTACCCTTTTTCCAAAAGCTGTAAGAAACCCTGTACCATTGAAGCTATATTAGACATCTATTTTAGTATGTTAGGTACTTGTTACCATAATACCTACAACCAAAATATCCAATTTACTGAGCACCACTGGTGTCAATAATAATTTGGCAGTAGTCTGTTTTAAATGCTTCCGGAAATGCAATAATACCTTTTTTGTTTTCCCGTTTTATGAAAGAAAGCAGTTTGGTATTACAATTTCTGTACAATCTTGTTTTGGGAGGAAATAAAAACCTCGATTCACTTTCCTTAAAATTGTATTAACAGAGATGCCAACTTTAAGGAAATAGTTCTTCTAGTGGTAAACAGTTTTTTTTTATTCGTGTGTTAGTAAATTTTTTTTTTTAAGTTAAGTTGCCTACCACTGCATTTAACAGTATCCATTTAACCTCAAATCATTAAGCTGTAAATAATGATCCTGAATTAAAGCATAATATTATTTATAGTCTTTAGTTCAGAAAATAATTATTTCAAAATATAGGTGTTGTTATTTATGAACATAACACGATTCTTTTTTAAACATTCAATTTTAAATGCTCTTGTTAAGGATCTTTGTACGCATTACTAGTTAAAATAAATAATTATGTAGAACTAATTTTAAATACTTATAAACTATAAATAATTCAGCCGAAATCAAGGAAATTGTTTGAATATTCTTAAAGAATGTTTTTTAAATAAATTTAAAAAAAAATTAAAAAGAAAAATTAAACTCAAATTAGTGTTTATATCAATATTTTTTTTATAATTAAGAGCTACCACCGCAGAATAATAATCTCTCCCTTTTCAAATATTTTTGATAGCAGAAATAATTAAATCCGTTCATTTATGAAATAATAACTAAAAAACTAAATGCGTACTTATGGAGAGGTTTTTTAGAATCTCTCAAGAATGTGAAATCGCACAGGAGTGCCGAATTTTCATCTGATATGAGGACGTTGTCCAGTTTAATATCAAGATGGCAAGCTCCATTAGAATGGAGATAGTCCAAACCTTGGAGCACGTCTTTCAGCCAAGACTTCACGATATTGTAAGCTCCCTTGCATGGAGTCAAGTCTTGAATGGCGCCAAGCAATGTGGTTGGATACACTGGCATCAAGAAGACAAAGGTTTTTTGTCTCTCTAATTTGTGCATGCCTATCAAGGAGACTAAGTTGGGATGGCTCAGATTTGTCCACAACTCAGACTCGGCTTTTGACACCATCTCGTAGGGCACAATCTTTACTGCCAGCTCAGATTTGTTCAAGGGCTCTATCATTCTGAACACTTGTCCAAATGAGCCAGATCCAATATAGCCAAGGCTAATATATTTTCTCTCTCTTTGCAATATTCCCATTGCTTCTTTGACACGTTTAGCACGTTTATCATCAGAAGTTTTTTTCACACCTCTCCACATTTTAAATCTTAGATGAAATAAATACGCTTTTTTCTAAATTTATTTGAATTCACAGCATTTGATTTCAAACAGCTCAAATGATCAAGATGGAACAAATTACAATAATAAGAGAATTTCATTGTTGACTTAAATTCACACAAGATTTGTAAGATTTGTAAAACGAATCATTTTGATTATTGGACAACCATTGTTGAAATATATTTCTAAATAGCATTGTTGCAATTGCTTTTTAAATTAACATTAGAGTTTATATAATTTTTTAAGTTTGGGCTATTGCCTCTAATACTTTCTAAACTCCTTATGTTTTAGTTTTTTGATGATAAAATGAATATTAATTAATAATTATAAATTTACACAGTAACTACAAGAAAAACTTCACAAATTCAGCTCTTTTCACAGTTCCTGCATTGTATACTTTTAAAAATATTTAGTCCAAATCATATTTGTCACCAAAATAGAGGAAAAAAATTACTTAAAAACATTTAAAACTAAAAATTTTTCCTAGAATCAAAAATTAAAGTTTATTTTTCCTCTTGAGTTTTAAATATTGTCTCAAAATTTTAATTCATTCATTTCATTGTAATTTTATGGTGCTTCAAAATTTTTATACGATAATGTACCTTAATATAATATAATTCGTGGTAAAAGAAATACATAAATAAACTCTCTCAAAGAGTTGTATTTCGTTGTACAGAGTGCTAGTAAAATTTCTTTTACTAGCACTGTAACAGCACTTTTCGAAATATTTCATTTCAAAACAGTAAAGTATCTGTATCATGCAATCAAGAGTTTTATAAAAGAAAAAAAATTCTATGAAATAAATTATGCTGAAAAAAATATGAAATTAGATTAATAGTAAAATCTTTTCCGAGTTTCTAAGTGTGCCATTTCTTTACTTTTTTCAAGTTATGAACCATAAAAATAGCATGCTCTTTCAACTCTATGTCTTAAAAACTAAACTTATTGTCAAAATCAATTTATTGCAATTTTTCAGCTGTCTTATTAAACCAATTTTTTTACGATAACATCATGTAATGAAAAGAAGATTATAAATGTCTTGATCTTGAATTAAGTAAATTGTGGACTTGATCGTGGCGAAAATTATAAAATATTCAAAACGAGTTTATAAAATCGAAAGAAGCATACTTTCAACTGAATCAGGAATTTACAGTTTAAGTGAAAACTGAGGAACCGTCCCTAAATCATGTCACACAATTTTATTTATTATTTTTTTTTTATATTTTTGTTCCCTTTCTCCCTTTTGTCGCAGAGTGTCATACTTTTTCCCTTTGTTAAGTCAGGTAATATTCCATAAACACATATTTTAAATTCAGGAACAAAGCACAACGTTCAAGTATATTTCACTTTTAGATTTCTGTGTTTTAATAGTATTAGTAAACATTACAATAATTATTATTACATGATTTCACAGTTTGATGGGGGGAAAAACTAAATTTCTTGATTTTGAATTTTTTTTATTAGCCATACTGGGGGGTGTTACACATCATATTACACCTACCCCTCCCTATGTCACAAACTTTTACAATTTCACGTAATCCCTCCATTCCTCCAAGCGTGACACCATTTATGAAGGGTACCTAAATTAAAACGGTACTTAGAGGTTTGATGCAGATATTTTCTGGATGTGCATTATCTCGATATAATCCAACTTGCTTTATTTTATTGTGATTGCTTTCTCACTTAATTTTAAGGGAAGGGGGACTTTAGAAAAGTGTCAATGTTTTCCTAGTTAGTATACTAACTTGAGAACTTAAAGAACTTCTTAAAGAACTTTATTCACCTGAAATTAAATATGTTGGGTATTGAAAAAATTAAAATTAAGTTAGAGACTTGTTGACGGTATTTTAAAAATAACATAGTAAAATTGAAAGGGTGAAGGAAGCATACCTAAAAGAGTCAAAAATCTCGTAGGATCGGTAACATGGAGTCCACGGCTGCAACAGAAAGTTGTCAATTAAACAGAGGGCAATAAGGAACATTAAATTGTTACTGCATTCCTATTTGTTATACATATTGAGAACAAAATTGCGTCTATAAAAGGAGTGTTAATTTTTTGCCAGACTGTTTCGGCAGCAATACGTGATCTATATATCTGTGATATGTTTGAGAAGGGGTGCTATTTCACCCAACGTTAGTATGATGCAGAGCAGTATATCTAGTACACAATAATATAAGGTGCGTCTATTCTGATCTTGCCAAAGCATTGAACATCTACTAGTCATAAATATGTATAAAATCATAGTTCTACTAGTCATAAATATGTATAAAAGTGTAACAAATTCATACATTTGTGACAATACAGCAAAAATTAATAATGTCAGAAGAAACCTTTTTCCTTATGTATAATAAATTGTTTCATCATTTTAATTTGTTTGGCGAACTTTTATGTTATAAATTTTTCCCTTGATTAATTTGATGGACCGTTGATGTTAAGATCTGGATGAAAAATATATTAGTTGTTTTCTGTAGGAGAAGTGAACTTTATTTAATGCAAAATCAAATTTTAACTGCTTAGTTGCTTTTCTGTGGACTGTAAAGTGGCCAGACTCATATTTGGCGATCGAAATGAGCTGCAGGTGGCGTAGAGCAGAACTCTTTTCCTATGGCAACACTTCACATGCTTTCCCCATTAGCGTGTGGAAAGTCATAGAGGAAGGAAGTACGTTAGTTTCTCTCTTGATTTTCATATAGATTGAAATCATTTAACTTGAAAAACTATATGGAACTGAAAACTACATTAAACATAGTTCTAAAGAAAAGTATTATGGAAATTTTAAAAAATATTCTTATTAAATAAAAAGGAAAAATATTAAGAAAAGGGAAAATATCGTAGTACATTCCTATACAACTGAAAAGAGGAGGAGAGGGAAGGGAGAAGGGATAAAGGCATGAAACCGGTCTCTCCCCAGATGGCGTATTCGAGTGTTGCGATCGCGATTTTTCATTTCTTACTCTCTGCAAATTTTCTGCACACCCAAGTAATTTTAATTTTCTAACTTGCCAAATTGTTCATCGAAAAAAGTAGCGATGTTAATTAGGAATTTTTAATGTTGATTGTTGTTGTAGTTCATTTACATTGCACTAGAGCTACACAATGGGCTATTGGCGATGGTCTGGGAAACATCCCTGAGGATGATCCGAAGACATGCAATCACAATTTTGATCCTATGAAAAGAGGATGGCACCCCCTCTTCTGTAGCCCGACGACCCGCTCGTGTGAAGTCGAGCACTTTACGGTAGAACAGTTTAACGAGGGCTCATACCGCACACCCTCGGTCCCTACGTAGACTGATCCAAGTGGTCACCCACCCGTATACTGACGGCAGCCAGTGATGCTTGACTTCGGTGACGCTGGGAACCGTGTCTTAACGATCAGTCCACTGTGGGACTTTCTAATGTTGAGCTTATTACCTAAAATTTTTCTAATTTATTCTTGTTACAACGAATTGGAATCGCGCTTCCGATCCTATGTGAATATGAATGTGATTCGCTCATGCACGCATTCGAGAGTTGCAATCGCGAATTACTACAAATGTCCGCTGAAAGATATCCATACCTGCCAACTTTTTATCCCTTCCATTATGATTTTCCTCAGTGGTATTAAAATGGGAACGAAATTTCAATTTTAAGCAAGCAAATTTGTTGTATTTGAAAAAACTTAAGCTAACAACCATGATAGTAACGCATATTACTATATAGACTTAGTTTTTTTAAGAATAGTGGTTATCAAAATAATTTAAAAATTAAATTTATAAAAGAAAAAATAGTATATATTTACTACCACTTTAAATATAAAAATAAAATTTTACGCCAAATGCGTAAAAGTTGGCAGGTATGGATATCAGTGTAGACAGAAATAAGCAGCCGGAAGTTCAAATTGTAAACAGACACCAATTTATTTAGAATGAAGGGAAATTAATAGCATATGGTAGGAGTCGAAACTTAGTGTTCAAGGTACAAGAAACGATAAAGTTTTTTTTTTTATCTCACTTTTCATATGGTTTTCATCTGCAGAATGGCGCCAGTGAAGTCTTTATTAAAAGCTAATAAGATTACTTTAATGTTCTAATATCTATCGATTTTCCGTTTCTTTGATGTGATGATTTAAAATAATATTAATGTTTCAAAATTGCAGGTTGCCGTTATTGGTGCTGGAGCTGCCGGCTTATGCTCTGGGAGGCATTTGATAGAGGAATCTGACAGTTTTGAATTTGATATTTTTGAAAAACAAGATGATGTTGGTGGTACTTGGCGATATTCAGAACGAGTGGGGAAAGATGAGTTTGGCCTACCCGTTCATTCTAGCATGTATAAAAACTTGAAGTAAGTAACAAAATATTTTTCTAATTTCATCATATAATCTAGTAATTTGCTAATTCTTTATGTATTAAATGAAAAAAATATAAATTTAAATTGATTTGGTGGTCTAAAAACAAAAGATGCCGTTATATTGTTAAAAGTATCTATGTTATTTTTCCATTTTGCTGGCGCAGGCAATAAAGTTCCCATGAAAAAGTCATATCAATTCAATTTTTGCGTTGTCTATTTAGAAAAAATAACTAAATTTACTTGCCCTGGCTAATGGAAAACTACAGTATATTTGAACAAGTTGTTTTTTTTTTCCCTCCTTGTGTCCTTGAAATTAAATTTTGACTTGCTCTTGTAATCAAATATTTAAGAGAAAGTATAAAATTTTCTAATTGTTTTATCCACATGTTAATTTAACTCTAATTTCTATTAAAATAGCTATTCTAATTAGAAATAGCTTGTCTGGTAAATTTTGTTAAATATAGTTGTCATTATCAGCAGTTTACACTTTTAACTTAATGTGTTAAATATAATGAGAAAGGAAAGAAAAAACATTGTTTTTAAAATTTAGGCAATAATATGTGTAGATAGTGATAACAAAATAACATGTTTTTGGAGCATTATCTATAAATTAAAAACTATTGGTTGAAATACAATTATCTTTTTCGAGTAAGTTGAAAATGCTGTGAAAAGTTTGAGGTTTTAAAATTCAAGATAAAGTTAGTTTTAGCATTGGCTGTTCGAAATGTCTATCAGTCTTATTCTTGGGACAGCTTGTCTTGTTTTTAAGATCCTTCTGTACAACCAATGGCTGCAATTGTTGACAATAGTTAACCTTGCAGAATTGAACAAAGTAACAGGGTATTGATTTACTAAGTCTGAATAATGCTCAAAGGTGATGGCATTTTAAATGTCCAACGGATGCTGTTGGTTGTCAGGAATTTGGTGAACAAAGATCATATTTAATACAACCAAAAATAAACTTTCGATATTCGGATTACTCTGAAATAATTTTGGAATTCCTAGGTAATATATTCTAACCTAATGCTGCTAGACTCAGGTGAAGATGATATTAATCAATCAGCAATCCCAATACTAAGCACATTAAAAAAAAATACCGAACATTTCCTGTCAAAAAGAAATGTATGTCATACTTTTCAATGTTTTTAAATAAAGTAATGTGGGCTTGAAGAGAGTGATGAACATATGTGAATAACAGTAAAGTCTTGATCAGTTGTACCTTATTTCTCAAAAAAATTTAACTTTTAAATTTAACAGAAGAAAAAAATCTTGTCTCTAAGTTTCTGATTAAGAGAAGATTCAAAACGATATGTAATAAGCATTATTTGTAATGCTTGTTATTTTGCTTTTTAATATTGAAAAAACTTTGATAAAAATTTGACAGTAATATTTAATGTTCCTTCAAGCATAAAAGAGTCCTGTATAAAATTTTGTTGCAGCCCACCATTTGACTGGGATTTTTAATTTAGGCCCCCAGCCACATGTAAGTTGGAAACCCCTGTTCTAAAGTAACACATTAAGTATCATTATTTTTTAGATTTACAAATTGCATTAATATAATATTATTTTTTTAACATTTCACTTATCTCTTAATTTTTTAAATTCTATCATCTGTCTTTCAATAAACTTGTTTTTTAATTTCTAAATAATATATTCAGTGTTTTATTTTCAAACAGGACAAATTTACCAAAGGAGACAATGGCATTCCCTGACTTCTCCTTTGGAAACTGCGATGGTCAATCTTTTATTCATCATACTCAAGTATTAAAATATTTGGAGCGTTATGCTGAATATTATGGTCTTTACAAGCATATCAAGGTTTAAAAAAAAAAATTTTCTCACAATATTTATTTAAAATCTGATTTTGAGCCATAGAAAACCAATGAGTATATTAGATTTCTAATGCCGCAACATCTATTACTTAATACCATAATACCAGTAGTAGCTATTACCACAAGTAATGAAGCAACATAAAGGTCAATCAGAGGAGGAAAGTCTTTCGCATTGATTTTAAACAAATAAGTTCTGCTAAATTTTTTTTATGAACTATTAGATGGTGTAAAGATACCTTTTAGCAAATCCACAAGCTCTTATTTTTTTAAAAAGTAAATACTATTATGTGTTTCAAATTTTTATGTTAAGTATGCAATTTGCTTAATTGTTTTACATTTTTTGTACTACTTTAGTGTAAAGCAATTGCAGTGTTTGAATAAAGTAATGTGGTATTTTTATATTTGAAATTGTTAATTTGTATCATATAATTTAAAATTTCTCATGACATTAATTAATGAATTAACTGCTTGTTTGATTTTTTTTCTGTTTATTTATCAGCATAAATATATTAAGTTTTAATCATTTTGAGTTGTATGATTATTTATTTTGTTAAACATCTTTTTCATCCTGTATAGTTATTAGTTTTTGTTTGTCTTTCTATCCTTAGTTAAGTAGTTTAATTAAAGAAGTAGATCCCATAGTAACTTAACTTTTTTATTTTTTATAATGAGGTTAAATGATTTGAAATATAGAAACAAAATAAAAAAATATCCAGCTGTTGTTAAAAAGCAGTTTATTTTATCAATAAAAATCTGAACAGTCCCTTTTTTCTTCTTTTTTATAATCAACAGAAGTGAGGTTTAGACCTTGTTTCATACTATAGTAACTTATTTTTTTAATATGTGTCTATTTCTCAGCAATGAAAACAATTTCCTCAAAATTTATTAATATTGTAACAAAACAGATCATATTAACAATTCCTGAATTTTAAAATTAAATATTGATCAGATCCCATGTTACCCAATTGTGTAATAGTGATTCAGAGTCTACTGTTATGTGATATTTGTGATGGCTTTAGATATGTCAGTGTACTCCAATAGAGCCTGGTGTGGCAACGGAGTAATTGATATTTTGTTTCTCTATTCTAAATTTTTAAATGGAGCATTTGCAAGCATTGCATCTCTAAGAATGAATCCCTGTTTATTGCAATTATTTGTGTCATTCTAATACATGATTTAACTTATAGAAAGAGTAATTACTGCACATTCATCTTTAAAGAAAATACATTTTAAAATTTATCTTGAACTTATAAATATTTATTTTCAAAATAATTTGTATTTTTTTCCGACAAATAACTTAACATTTTTATTTGAAACAAAAATCATTTTGCATATAGCGTTCTGAAATATTTTTATTCTTTACAGTTTCATAAGTTAGTGGAAAATGTAAAACCTCTAAAACAGTCAGAAGATCGTGTGGAATGGTCTGTCAGCTATTCTGATATCATTTCTAAGGAAATAGAGACAAAAACGTATGATGCAGTTATTGTCTGCAATGGGTCAGTTTTTACTTTTTAATACAGTTACTGTAATTAAAGTAGTTATATATTTTTCTTATTGAAGTGACCTAGTTTGAAAAAACATTAAAACAAGTATGAGAGTAATAAAAGTCGAGTTGTAAAAATTTTTTTAGTTACCCCATTAATTAAAAATTTTATAGTAGTTGTTACCTTTTAACAAGTATCTATCAAATGATATATTTTTTTTCAATTAAATCTCTTATAGTCACTACTCAGTTCCTCACATACCCGGAATTCCTGGTCTCAAGGATTTTAAAGGAATCCTTATGCATAGTCATGAATATCGAGAAGCTTCTGATTTTAAGGATCTGAGAGTTGTAATTCTGGGAGCTGCATCATCTGGTGTAGACATTGCTATTGAAGTCTCTCGTGAAGCTAAGGAGGTAGGCACGATTCTGTTAAGCATATTGTGTGAAAATAATAACTATGCTATAGGTCAGGGGTGGGCAAACTTTTTTAGTCGAGGGCCAAAGATGGAGGGAAAAAAAGTTTAGTGGGCTAGATAGAAATTGCTAAAATAAAAATAATAAAAAAACATTATACAAGTTTTAATTTAAATATTCAATTAGATGAATGAAATTGTGACTACATTTTTAAAAGTTCCTTATATTGAGGTTCCAAGTGAGATGTACTTATTTTAAGAAACGAGGCTAAATGTTTAGTTATTAGTCTACTTCTGAAATGATTTTTTCTAAGGTTCATCATTGCAAACACTTGTTCACATATATAAGATGAAGCATACATAGCGCTGATTTTCTGGGCATGATTCATTAAATTTGGGAAAATAGCTTTTGGTAATGATTTGTAAAACTCAAACTTGGGCATACTTAGGAGCAACTGCTTTAGATGGCGCCAATCTATGGCTATTCTGTAAAGAACTTCTTCTTTCAACATTTTAGCAATTGAAGCTGTCTGTGTTAGCTACTTCCATCAATTTATGCTTTATAGGACAAAAATAGAGAAAGTAAAAATGTCATCAGTAACTTTGTTAAAAAAGAAAGAACGAAAATAGCTTTAAACAAAGTAGACAAGAAAATGAATGTATATTGTTTATACTCTCCACGGATTGGCAAGTTAAAATTCTATCCACGGGCCGGATAAAACTTTCCGGCGGGCCGTAGTTTGTCCATCCCTGCTATAGGTGTTAGATTCCTGCTTTGCTGAATTTGCTTTGTCAATCAACGTCATCTGTGTTCATTAAATCAATTTTGTCTACGACCCTCCCAGGTGCAGTCAGATGGTTACTATAATTGGAAAATTAAGGCTTAAAATATAATATATGTAGCGATGTTTAATTTTAATATTTTTTACATGATACTTTTAAAAAAATAGAATGCATCTTATAGAGCTGTGTAAACTTACCTGTGGGCCACCTGTTCTTTTTCATAGGCCCTTGTTTTTCTTTCAGGAAAAAAATTAAATGTTAAGCAAAAATTATTTTGCTTTTCTTACTACTTTAAGTATACTATATTATATTTTTTAAGTGCCATATTATATGGGTAGTTTCATAATTTAAATGATTTCAAATCCCAATCAATAAAAAAGTAGAGCCAAATTCTTTACTTGCTTCCATGACATTTTTGTCTTATTTGCTACAATTTTATTTACTCACTTTAAGCACTCAAATTTCTACCAGTGCTTCATTCCTGATGATAAATTTAAGTCACAATTGTTTTCTCGTAAAATTGGAAGTTATGTTTTACGAAAACAAAAAGTCTTTGTTCAATGTTAGTCAATTATATCAAAAACTAGTGTGCAAAATTTTAATTGGGTCTGCATCCTATTTTTTGAGAAATTGTATCCACAAATAGAGTTTGAGAAAAAAATAGTTTCTCTATAGTTTTCTCAATCTTCTAATGTATAGTATTGTCTTTGGGGGATTTGAGCCTGATGCAAAGAGTTTCCAAAGACTTATAATTACAATTAGGGAAAGGATATGAGACTTACAGTTGAGGGAAAATATTTGTAACATGTTGTAAGGCCAAGCAATTTTTTTTTTTAAACGAAGTTTAAGCATTTTAAAACCAATGTATCCCTTTAACCTTTTACATGGCCATTTTTTCTAATAATGTTCAGTTAAAATGTTTTTCGGATTGAGATTGATTGATAAATGGATATGTCAGAAAAGATAGAAAGCTTATTACATAAAATTATTTAGACTTTTAAGAACTTTTTTTTTTTGGTGCGAAGAGAGTAATGTTACCTTCTGTAATGAATTCACAATTAACAAAAACTTCTGTGTTCATAAGCAACAAGATATATAAATTCTGTGTTTAAAAGCATAAATAAACTTTAAGGAAAAATAATCAAATGGGCAAACACATAACACACTAGTAAGAATAGCTCTCTAGTGTTGGCCTCTCTTCTTGATCCCACGCTAACCTTCACTGTTATGCTCTTTTATATAACTTCATTGTTTTTTTTGTTGTTATTATCTACAGATGGTTGCACACATTAAAGGTGGAAAAGTAGTTCCCCCATTAACATTTAAAAATTTATAAAATTTGTGGGAGGTATATTTCCCACTCTCTTATAAAATGTTAAATTGCTTACCTTAAAACTGTAACTCAACTACATTTAGAAAGTTCTGTATAAAGCATTGATATTCTGTTTATTATCCAAATTCTATTATAAAATACTTTATATAATATTCATATTCTGTAAATAAAACATAATAAATAATATTCATTCTTGTCTTCATTAAAACTTCCTATATTTTAGGTAATTTTGAGCCACAATTTACCTCCTAAGGAGTGTCCTTTACCAGAAAACTTGACTCAAGAAAGAGGTATTGATTCAGTTCAGAATAAATCTGTAACTTTTATTGGCGGGAAGAGGTATGAATGTGATGCTATAATTTTATGCACCGGCTACTCATACGATTACCCATTCCTCGATTCCATTTGTAACCTTCATATTGGAGATCAGCATGTATCACCACTATACTTGCATACATTTCATATCGATTACCCCACTCTGGCAATACTAGGTGTACCAAAAATAATCCTTCCATTTCCTATATTTGATCAACAAGTTAGAGTTATTGTAAAACATTTCAATGGAACAATCAAACTACCCTCTCCAGAGGTCATGAGGGCAGCTGAAAAGGGGGATTTTGAAAAGAGATTGGAGAGTGGCTTCAAGCCAAGACATGCACATATTATGCCTGGTCAGTGGCAATGGGACTTTGATAAGTCCCTTTGTGAGCTAGGCCAACTAGAACCTGTATCAGATGTTGTTGTAAATTTATATAAACATGTTCATCAACTGAGGATGAAAGATTTAGTGAATTATAAGAAAGTAAATTTTTGTTTAATAAATGATAAAACGTTTGTTCAAGTTGAATAAATTTAAGATAAATGTAAATTAGGGACGTTTAATTGTATATTTTTTCATTTATTTCTTACAAGAAATTATGAGGCAAAATTAATGGTCACCACGGGGCGACTAAGTGTAAGAAATGGTGATGAGAAAATTGTTAGTCAGTCGCCACTCGATCATCACTTTTTTTGTCGAAAATGCACCCTTTGTGCATTTTATTATTATTTTTTTTAAAAATATGGAATTATTATGAATATTTTATAATATACGGAAAATTATCTTATTTGATGCTTATTTTTAAAATTTTTCTTCAATTTTAATCATAAATCTTGTAACGTTTACCATATTTTAAGGAATGCTTTAACAGAAATGACTTTGTATTATTAATTTATAAACAGTTTTTTAATAGTTTAAACTTTTTAATTTTTGAATAAATGATCACGGTTAAAAATGAAGCAAATGCCAAGCAACTAAATACTTTTTTTTCTTTACAAGTAATTTTTTAAATACCCTGTGGTTGAAACATTTTATGTATTGTATATTCATCATAATAATTGGTGCTACAGCCTTTGAAAGGCCTGATCTTCAGAACATTTAGCCATTCCATATGACTAGTTGTTCTTTTTCCAATTAGTAACTCTCAGTCTCTTCCAAAGTTGTCATGATTTAAATCACCTAATTTTTTTTAAAAAAATCATTGATTTAAACCACATGAATTTTTAAAAAAGTCATTAATTTAAATCACCTGATTTTTTTTAATCATTGATTTAAGTTAAAAATATTGTATCCAGTATAAAAGTATTTTATCTAATATGATATTTTATCTACTTAAATATACTCTTGAGGGTGTGATATTTTTTAAAGTCTGGTTTCAGTATTCAAGATTATATCTGGAGTAATAATCAGAGGGAAATGTTTGTAAATTAGTATTGCATATTCAAAATAGACTAATAAATAATTAAAAGGAATTCAGAGATAAAAGTAGCATGAAACTTAAACAGTATTTAAAATAACTGCTGCTTAGTACGCATATTTTCATGGTACTCATTTAATTTTATGTTTTAATTAAACACAAATACTTTCAAAACTTGTTCTGCCGAGAGCAATTTTAAAACTAATTATTTTTTATTTGTCTTAATTTACGTTAATTTATTGTGCATTTAACTAATAAAGTGTGTGTTTGTCTTTATAAATGGATGTGGGTGTCGCACTTGAATAAAGATAAATTTTATTTTATTTATTCCTTGATTAGTTTGTAATAACTTCCACAGTTAGAAATATACAGCACCGTAGTCATTAAATGAACTTTGATAATTTTTTTTTTACAAATTAGTCTAAATATATTTTATTTATTTTTAAATTGATTTCCCTGTTCTCTTAAATTGATTTTATTTTTATTTGATCTCTGTCTTATTTTCCGTTGTCCTCTGTATCTAGATCTGATTGTTTTTCTTGAAGAAGTCTTGTTGTTCTTAGTTTTAGTCTCTTTCTTGACCTATTCATTATATTACTCTTATCTCTTAGACAATATCTAATTCTTTTTAACAATCAGAAATCACAGATTTCTTGATTTATTTTGTATCAACTGTTTTCACCAATTGTTCCTTCCTCAACTGCATTTTCTTCCTTACTTTCAACAACTTTTCTGAGGCATCCAAAATAATTGATCTATTGATAATAATTTTTCATGCTTTAGCTTTCAGTATGATGATTCGAACTTCTTTTGTATTTTATAGTACTTACCAGCTTGTTCTTATTACAAAATTCACTTCATTTTGATCATTTATTTGAGTGCTGAGATAATTGAACTCATTAGCTCTCTCAAAAATTTCTTCTTCTTTCTCTTCAGATTTTATCGTATATTTTGTCTTTGCAGCATTAAAGGATGGACCCCTTCTTTCAGAAATGTAGCAGATCATAAAAGCACTTACTTGCTGGGTTATTGTTTTTTAATTTGTGTAAAAATTTCACCATTTATTTTATTCAATGAATTTATTTTTCCATTCATACTAGCAGATAAATTATGTTCTATTGTATGGCAAAACATTTAAAACATTTGTATTCTTTGACTTCAAAAAAATTGAGAATCCAGGTTATAGCTTTTGATTAAATTTTCTTTCCATAACAAGTTAAAATGTTATTTTTTGAAAATTTTATGCGGTTTACTTTCTTCTAAAATTGAAATGTGGATAATCAATTTGATTGTTATCAGGTATTGATTTGTAAATTCCATTTTTTATCTTGTTAACAAAATATCTTGTTTTATATCTTGTTTACAAAACTAGTCTATGTTATTTTAGATGGTATATGTATTTCATGTTTTATATTTACATAAAAAAAAATTTTTTTTTTTCTTCAGAAAATTGTTAAGATGTTATTCTTTGAAAGTTGTTAATGATTTAGAAAGCTGTTGAGAAACAATCTGTTAACTCTATTTTGTGTGCTATATATTTTTTTACAAAAACAGGTCTGTTATATTTTGATGAAATATTTATTATGTACTTTAGTACATTTGTTGTGAAATGAATTATTTTTAATTATGAAATAAAGAGTTTATCCTAAATATATTATATAAAATTAATATGTAAAATTTTATACTGAATGTATTTTTGTAATGTTTGCACACAAAAATTTACAATTAACATTCACAATATTACATTTAGGAAATTTGTTTTCAAAAATTTTATTCTCATGCTATGATATAACATAATAAGAAATTAAAGTTATTTGTTATTATAATAAATAAAGAATTATTCACTTATGTCTAGTTTTTTTAAAAAACATTTTTTGTTTGGTAATGGAAGAAAACACTTATAATGCATCAAACAACGTTTTTATGAATCTTGTGGTCTTTAAAGTTCCTAATCCTGTTCTCAAACTAAAGTGGCAACTTTAAGGTAATATAGTGTCTAATCAAAATTTTATTTTAATTTCTTAAATGTAATAATAGTTCTTTATTAGCATTACACTTGAGCTGAGCTCCACAATGTCGCAGTCTCGGAAACATTCCTGAGGACGATCACCCTCACAATGTTGGACTCGAACAATCACTTAGGCCTTCACGATATTGATCTTCGACAGAGGAGATGGCTTCCAGCTTTTGGTAGCCTGATATCGAGCATTTTACAGTTTAACAAGTACCGATACCACACATCCTCAATTCTTAAGTTGAGTAAAGTGCTTCCTTAATGCAAACAAATATTTTTTATTACAGAAAGTTCAGATCCAATTTAGAATCAGGTAAAACAAATTTTTGATATTTATGCTGTCAAACTTATGTGATTACAAAGTTTTACCAGCATGGCAAGCAATGATTGGCTGCTTCACAATAGTCTTGCATCACGTTGCATTGGTTAACTGGATAGTTGTAAAGGAAAAATTATCGCATTCTGTTTAGTTGTTGATTTTCAGAGACCTACTGATCCATGGATTCATTAATATGCGGTTCTACTTAATTTATGTATTACCAGTATTAAACAGATGGCCCAATTCTGAATTTAACACTACCAGTGTTCAACTTCATAGCCTTGCAGTTTTGAATTAAACTCTGAAGTCAAGGAAACTCTTGAGTCAAACTAGCCTTGGTGGAAAATTTTTGAGGAACTGACCCACAATTGTGTTAGAGGGAGAGGAAAGCTTCCCACGGTTAGCCCAACCACAAGAGGATTCTAACCCATGATCCGCCTACCACCGAGGATAATTTACACCAGAACTGTGGTATGTGCAATCCGGGAGCTGAATGCATATCCACCAACCAGTGCTGGGATTCGAACCTTGTTCACCTCATTGGGAGGCAAACGCTCTATCCCTTGAGCCACTGCGACTCGCGGTTCTACAGAAGTAACATCAGATATACACGAACGCGCGTACACCGTTCGCGGAAAATTTGTCCCAATCATCGCGGTCAATCTGATAGACTTGATAATAAGAATTTTTTTTTTCTCAGCCGCGTTTTTCCCGCAATTACTTCATTTATTCTTGACTTGCAGGGATGAGTTTTTTACCGCTTTTTTTCCATTTAATTTCCACCTTTTCAAAGACAGTTCGAATTCCTGAAGGGGAAAAAACTATTTGTTTTTACGCTTTACTCTACCTATGCAAACACGATATAAAATTATATTGACATGATTTAAAATCACTCATCGTGATTCGTATTTACGCCGTTTAAGATTGTGTTTCGAATTTCTACGATTTTATATGAAATATCTCTTTTTGATTCACGTGGTTGAACCACTATTTTGGTTTTGAACCACTATTTTGATTCATGTTCAAGTCACTTAAAAATTATACGTCGGAATTCGTAATCACGCCACTTTAAAAACATCGAGATTCGTATTCGAGCGATAAATAAAATCAAACATCGGGATTCGTATTCACACGGTTTTAAAATCAAATATATCACAATTTAAATAAATCAAACCTCACATCGATGTTTTTATTAAAACGTTAATAATATTCGTTAAGACCTGGTTCCCAGCAGATCACCGAAGTCAAGCATCACTGGCTGTGGTCAGTGTGCTGGTGGGTGACCACTTGGATCAATCTGCGTATGGGACCGAGGGTGTGCGGTATTGGTTTTCGTTAAACTGTTCTACCGTAAAGTGCTCGACTTTGAGTGCAGGTCGTCGGGCTACCGATCAGGGGTGCCATCCCCTCCGCAGAGGATCAAAATTGTGATGGCATGTCTTCAGATCATCCTTAGGGATGATTCTCAGACCATCGCCAATAGCCCATTGTGCAACTCTAGTCGACGTAAAGGAACTACAATATTAGATAGATCTCACACAGGGGACTTCAAAAAGTACGTACATCCCGAAGAGGGGGAGAGGATTTGCTATTTTGTACGATGGGGAGGGGGGAGGTATTATACAAAGTACGTACATTATAAGCATACACCAAATTTAAATTTGACTTTTTCCTACACACTCCTTAAATAAATATTTAATTTTATTTGAAACATAATTATTTTAATTTTTACGGAAAAGGGGGATAGGCTAATAAAATGTACGTACTCTAAGGGAGGGAGAGTAAGACCTTATGTACGAAGGGGTGGTTAAAATTTCTCCATTTTTGAATGGCCTCCACAGTGGATTAAACAGTACGAGAAGTGTTTTCCTGGCCGAGTGGCCTTGCAATTGCTCCAAACACTCTGGAGCGTTGCGGTAGCAGGTTCGAATCCCAGTGTAACCTTGTATGTATCTTTATGATATTTTAATTCGTGCTATCTTTTCTTCAACTTGACAAAACCTGTATATGAATAATAATAATAAACAATACGAGACTATACATTTAACATGCAAATATCGAATATTGCCAAAAATGTAAATAAGCTTACAAAATATTTCCGGTATTTTAAATATGGATTCTGCCAATATATACAACAAAGGTAAAAAATACAAATGAAGTAGAAAAGTTAAAAGAATGGCATTCAGTAATTAGCTTTATAAAAACTTATCGACGATTAAAAGTCGCTCAGTAGTTTTTTTGTGCCAACTTCGTTGGTCTTACGCCAACTGTGAATGAGCGTCAACTTATGTGGAGGGAAAAAAATGTCATGTCTAATTTTGGCACTCTTTTCTTTCGTGTGCACGCTCCATTAAGCTTTTATTTAGTCTGATTGTCTTACGAAGATTTGTTTTGTGTCTATTTGACACCTTTTCATATTCAAATTAAACTTCTTTCATTTTCTATTTATGTATTAAGAAAAAAAATTAGTTTTATAAATTAACCATAAGATTATGTTTAATCCTTTAAAACTTGAATTACAAAAATATGTATGCCTACAATAACATAATACAACTGATTTTAAAATCTATTTTTAAATCTGAAATTATGCAGTTGGATTTTTTTTAACACTTGATTTAAGGGTCCATTTTACGAAAATTTTTTATTAAGTGCGCTAAAAAAAGTGAACACCTCACCAAGTATTTTTTTTATTACAGTCGTTGAACTGCCGACCCAATTTTGGGTTTACGACTACTAATGTTTAACTCCGAAGCTTTGTAATTTTGAACCAATCCAGAAGACATGAAATCTCCTGGATCAGTACCCCTAGAGGTATGATTTGTTATGGGAACATGGAGGACTTTGTGACTCGACAGATTTAACGTGTACCAGTAAACATTTATTACCCTGGAAGTATGCGGGGATCGAAACCACGACCTCTTGGACATGAACCCAGTGCCCTACCAACCAGGATACCCTAGGCTATTTGAATAGGAGGAGCGATCCCTAATAGGCCCTCTGCAGAGGATCAAAATTGTAATGGCATGTCTTCGGATCATCCTCAGAGATGTTTCCCAGACCGTCGCCAATAGTCCATTGTGCAGCTCTAGTGCGACGTAAATAAAAAACCTGCCATATAATTTATTGATCTTAATTCGGCATTTTAAATAGTTAAAAAAAATTAATCTCATCATTACCTCATTTTAGAGTATTTTTAGTTCTTAAATTATGATAAATTACGTGGGAAAAAAACGATATTAAAAAAAGTGGTTTGCTGGGAATGTTGGTTAAATTAAAATTAGTTGGATGATTAATTTAAAGAAAATTATCTTAAGTATGGAATATCAATATAACTACATGATCATAACCATATGATCATAACTAAAAACTATCACCTAACGCTTTATTGCGTGAAGGTAGGTTGGTGTTGCGTATAGATTTACATTCCGCCTCAGCCCAGGATATATCTTAGTGATGCCTTCTAACATGTGCTTCAGAGCCACTGTTGTCCAGGGTGTAGAGCGCACGCCTCCCACTGAGTTGCTCCAGGTTCAAATCCTAGTGATGCCTGATCGGTTCGAATTCTGCTTCCTATTCGCACTGACCATATTGCCGGCGTAAAATATACTCAGTGGTAGATGGACCATGGGTTAGAACTCCTATATAAGACACGTTAGTTCGATTTTATGATGACATTTTCCTTAACAGCTTAATTGGCAGGGTGCTGGACTCAAGTTTTCATGTACGCGAATTCGAATCCAGTCACCCAAAGACTGACCGTGTAGTAAATAGTGATTGGTGCCCGCTAAATCTGTTGAGTACAAAGTCCTCCATGTTTCCATAATAAATTAATGCCTCTGGGGGTACTGAATTGAAGACTGATGGTTCTTTGGATCAGGTCAGAATAACGATCTGTGTATGAATGAATCATTGTATGAATGGGTCCACCCTATAAACGGTTGTGACGTATGGCTGCGGCAAAAGTTGAATTCTTTGCCTTAGATGGAGCTACTGGAAAAAAAGAACAATCGCACTCC